TTGTCATCATCTGATTCCAAAGTGATATGCTTGTTCTCAATGTACTAACTTTCAATAGTGCCCTTGTATTCAGGATCAGCACGACTTTGAACTTGATGTTCAAGGAGAGGAGTTTCTGGATCATCATCTACCAGTTCTGGCTCCTCAACATCAAGGAAGTTGTCGGATGTGATGTGCTCGTTGTCCTGAAGGACCTTTCCAATGTCAAGTTTGAATAGGTGTCATAGGAAACCTCAAAATTCATAGCAGGTGCATTGTGTTCCATGAATGTCTTGTGAAAGGAGCATGATTCAAAGCTTCCATCATCAAAAGCAAAGAAAAATAACTGATGTCACCACGCTGTAGAGGTTCACCTCCTTCCAAATCAGGACCTCTTGCAAAGGTTGACCTCCTTCCAAATCATCACCTCTGAGGACATTTTGACCTGTGAGTGTAATCTCATGGAGGAATCTTTGATGTGCAGGGTTGAGCTGCCTAACCAAGAATTGTCCATGCCTGTCCTCAGGTTTTCTGATAGGTGCTGCATCAGGTAGTACATTTTCATGTTCTTCTGCTGGCACCTCTTCTGTTTGTGTTTCCTCTGTCTCTGAAGAGCATACACCTTTTTCTTCCTGAGACTTCACAAAAACTTGCAATCTTGGCAGGAAATCAAGTTCTTCATCGGCATCTTCATCTTGATTTGCCATTTTAACATCATCAGCTTGATCCTTGGGAACATGTGTCACATCACGTTTGCCTGCTATCCAAACATATCCCTCAAGCTTTGTAGATGTGTGAAGTTGACCTGTAGTAAACTCTCTGGCTTTGGTTCTTGCTGTAGCCGATTGATGAAATGCCTCGTGCTGAAAGAACTGATTGTAGGCATGCTCGACAAAGAATCTGTAGGATTGAGCTGTCAACTCTTTTCTGCCATATATCTACAAACTGTCTGAGCTTCTTGAGACCGAATGTTGTAAAATGGAAGAGTTAGATGGTGCGTCTTCTTCATACAAATCAATTCCCATGAGCATCAGCTTTGTGGAAAATGAGAAGTGATTTTCTGGTTCAGGGATGACTGTCTTCTTGTTCATGGGAACCTGAGTACCAGGGATCGTCCTGTCATACCCACGAGTGCTCAATTCCAGTTCATCCAAAGGGAAGCCAGTACTGTCAACTCTTCTCCGGCAGAAATCTCGCCATAGCTTGTCATTCTCCCTGATGAACTTGTCAAGATGCTTGGTGTAAAAGACAAAGGCGGCTTCTGTGAGATACTCCAAATCTCTTTGGATTGCCTCATCACGTTCATAAAGCAAAATTGTCTCATGCCATTGGTCTCTGTCGACCTCGTGCCTTGTCTCCCAACCATTTGGGGGCACTTGACCTCGCATCCAATCTACCCAGTAGTTTCGGCAGTATTGAAGGAAACTGTTCATTTCTGACATTCTTCCTTCAGCCCTTGCCATTGTAAGCATTCGACCCATCTCCCAAGCTCTGGTGAAGAGTAAACAAAGATGTCCATGGCTTTGATTCCCTTAGGGATACATTCCTTGCAACCAAAATCAGTGTCACATAAATAGGCACACTTGCATTCGACACCCTGAAGACAGTTGGAAACAGAACCAGCTAGCATTGTACCGGTCAAAGCGGCATCACTAACGGCAAGTTGGTCAACATCAAATTTGTGTCCCCAAGGAAAGGTTACCTTACCCCTGGTGACAGAATTTCCAATTGGCCTCAAGTTCCCCCGGGCTTTCACAAGAGACACGTCCGGTGAGTCGTCAAAACGAATCGATGGACAAAAGACCCTTGGCTGAGGGATGCAAATTGCCTGAGACACGGATGCAAGCATGGATGCAACAAGGCAAACGGCAGCTGGCGATGGCTTAGAAGAGCTCTTCCCAGATCCTTTAGACTTTGGGGATTTAGGGCTCTTGGGGCTCTTAGAGCGGCTAGAGCTTCTGGATCCCTTCCTTTTCGGGTTCTTGGCATACTTCTTTTTATTCTTACTATTACTTCTTTTTATTCTTACTATCACTACTTGCCGAACGGGCAGGAGTAGCTTGTCTTGGCTTACCAACCGAACCCTCATGAAGGATTTTGCAATCAGCTCCTCTATCACATCGACCTTGCTTCCAAAACTTGCAAACTTTCTTACCTTTCCCCTTTGGCTTGGGAGATCCGGAACGTTCAGTGGAGCGACCTCTGGTATTGCTGGGTTTACGACTTCGGTCACGAGGCTTGGGGACTTCATGTTTGTAAGTGCAGTCGTCTTTACTACAGCCCCCTTTGTTCCATGCTACGCAATACCCCTTTGGGATGAATCCAGTCTTGCCCTCGACTGCAGGAGCGGAGGGTCGGCCGGAACCTGAAAGACCTTTGGCAACTCGATCTCGATTCGCCTCCAACCTTTCACGGTCAAGGTGGCGTCGCACAGCGGAAACAAGGAAACCATAGTTTCGTTTCTCGGTTCCTTCATCAGCTCTGTGATACTCATTCATGTCATGTTGTATGGCTTTGCAATTCTTCACTTGTTTGTAGAATAGCGTTTCCAGCACACTTTCATCTGGAGTCTGAACAATGCCAGCCAACACTTGATCCCAATTTGAAATAAACGACTTCAAATTCTCCCCACGCAATTGGACACTGAACAAATCCTGAAGGGCATACGTTGCTCCATGCTTGATGTTGGTACTAAAATGGTCATGCAGCATGAACAAAACTTGTCTTCCCCTCACAATCCGTCCCAGCAGTGGCTTGGCTTCGGTTTCTTTGAACGTATCAACCTTTCGTGCGAAGTCACCGGAAATGATGTTTGTGAGTGCAGATAGTAACTTAGCATCAAGGGTCGCAAACGGCGCAACCTTCCGGAGCGCTTCAAGAGTCTGATCTTCTTTCCAAGAATCACTGACCCACTTGAAGGCACTGTCGGGATCTGTGGATGCTGCTACAACTGCTTCTCTAGTTTTGATTCTCCAATTACGATAGGTCTCCGCCAATGGGAATGCTGGGATCTTAATGGTGTCAGCTTCCTTGACCTTTGGCTTGTCATCATGCTTCTGTTCAATGAAACCACCAAGAAATTTGATCATCCTACGCCTAAACTTTTCATCATCATCTTCGTCGTCATTTCCATCTCCACCATCATCCCCGCCATCTGGTGGGCCAGAACCAACCTTGTCTTTCTTGGGGGTCTTCTTCTCCCTATTTCCTTCAGGCTTTCTACTTGGTCCAGGTGGTGATGGTGGGTCACCTCCCCCGTCCTCTCCATTGCCATCTCCTCCATCCCCAGGATAATCTCCATCGGGCGCGTCGTCATCTCCAGGCTCGAAGTAGTCCATGTCATCAGGACCTAGTTCGGTGGGAGAGTAACGATGCGTTGGAGCAGGGGAATTTCCCTTTCCCTTGGAAGGATCACCACGTCGCTTGTCAGCGGCCACCCCTTCCGGAGGGCGTTCATCAGCGGATGAACGGGCTCCATCAGACTCCTTCTTCCCTCGAATCGGGACTTGATATGTTGGGTCATGGTAAACAATTTCAACGCCATCCCTCTCAAGATCTCCAAGATCGGGTGAAGTAAAGACGATTGGGTTCTTCGGGTTTGGAGGTTTGGCTACACTTGGAGGAGGAGCTGCTGGTACAGCTTTGCGGGTTGGTGCAACAAATTCAAAAGTCGGATGAGCTGATGATGTATGTGTTTCGGCAGTGGTTGTCATAGCGGCAGTCTCAACAACAACACTCGGACGAGCCTGGGCAAACTGGGAATCAAGCATACTTTACAATTTCAGATTATGTCGCATCTGGGCTTGTACCATTTGTTCAAGTTGGGTGATGCGATCATTCTGAATTCTTCTGTCTTCCTCAGCCTGCCTTTTCAGTTCAAGGATTTCTTGCTCTTTGCTTGAAAGTGATTGTCGATGGTTTGCATCAATGACACGTTGGTATGCCTGAATTTTCTCATTCATTTGAGCTTCTTGGAACCTTACATGTTGGTGCGCCTCATGCTGTAAATTCTCCCTATACTGTGCTCCCATTCTCAACATTTCATGTTCTTTGGACATCATTGCAACCAGGGCCCTCTGACTTTCAACGCCCTCACGGACTCGTAGTGCTTCCACCAATTCCTCAGTCTTTGCCGTGTGGACGGCCTCGGCATGAGCTTCGGCCTGGGCCAATACTTCGCGGTGGCGGAGTTCGGCCGTTGTTTCCACAAGGCTTGTCATGGCAGGGTCATGTGAATGGAGATGAACACTCTGCTCGACAAAGTTCACTTGAGGATTGTCAACATGTACATTGTGCTGAAAAGTATTGTGAACATTCATTTGGTTCAACTGGCGAGTCGGTGGCCCACCCTCCCGAGCGGCTTGGGGAACAAAACCACGGTGATTGAAACCCACATGAGAAGGCACAACTGCGTTACTCAAAGGTGGTAAGTGACGTCGTTCCCTTAAGCTTCTTGATTTATCGGATCCAGGTGGGGTGCTGATGTCAATTGAAAAGGGTGCATCTGATATAGGTAAGTGTCCGGGATTTGCCATGGCTGCGTCAGAGGACATGCGCCCGGTGCCCTCGGTGGAAGAACCCGAGGGGGCAGACATACCTATAAAAGGAGATATGTGCTATACGGCTGATAACCTGTTTGACAGGCAAAACAGCCTAAACACAACAGCAATACACGCTTGTTTTCTTGAGCCATACACACGAAGTAAGTAATGAATTATATGAGTATATACAGTGATATGTACAAGAAACAGAATTAAACACACATATATATATATATTGATGGTCATCTATTTGATTGTTTTCAACTCAGCAGTCGTCATGACACGCAAAATCATGTCCCTTGCACTCTCCTTCCTCGCAGCTACACGACTCTGAGGGGCTGACAATGATCTCTTGCATTTTCAACTCTGCCGGTCAAAAAGAACCCTCATGGCGGAATTCTTTGCTTGTCAACCGTCCATCATCCAAAACGTTGCAGCTGAGTTCCAGTCCTTTCGGTTGTACCAGCCATTGTAGTCCATCTATTGCCGGATCAGCTCAATCGGTGGTTGAGCACCATAGTACTCCTGGCATTTCGATTTCCAGTGCAGAATTACCACCATCACAAGATGAGAAAGTGTGATGATGTCTTGAGAGCAAGGAAGATCAGATTGCTGGCTTTCATTGCAACTCACTTGTCTTGTTGCACCTTCTTTGGCATGTTCAAATCATCGATGAAGATTACATTTTTCTTGCCAGCAGGTGGGCCTTGGGTGTTAAGGCAGATGTCAGAATCTGGTATGAGGACTGAATGTATGTACATGTGAAACCACAATGTCAGAATTACATTATATCATCAATCAACTATATGACCCTCTGACCGTCAAGCAACTGGTGGCCCTTTGAGCCCAAGGCCATACACACCACGACGTCTCTTCTCGAACTTCGAATCCAACAAATCCTGGATCACAGGCGCTACTTCCGTTCACAGAGACTGTTTTCACTATTTTTCAGTGCCACACTGCGCTGTCAACTACTAGTGGCCTGCTTGCTATTCGCAAAAACATACGGATTGAAATGAAATTATTGGACTCTATTAGCTTATCATACCATCGGTATCCATTAGCTATGTTCCATAAATCCATTGGAGTTTCAACGGCTGGTTCATGTTCTCAACAGAAGAGATGGCAGAACATTGAACCAGAACTGACAGGGAAAACCAGTTTGGAACTCTCTAGGACGTTGTGGTTACCATGTGGGCATTTGTGAAGACACTAGCCTGGTGTTCATACCGAATTAACTGGTTGTCATGGGTGGTCATCTAACCACTCAAATGGTACCGATGCTAATGACAATCCCATTCAATAAACTGTGATAGGTTCCATTCATATTTTGGGACAATGGAAACAGCAGCCTGTTTGACCGTCAGTATCCAGGACTTCTCCAAGAACCCGGCCTGCAGCCGGTTCACATGCGTCTGGGCCTAAGCGGAAAGGGTGCAATGGCCAACCAACTAACTGTTCGTCGTGTGTCAATGCATTGGAAGAAATTGTGGTTTCTCATGGTTTCTCCAATAATGTTTTTTCAACTTAGTTTTGTCACTTTCTGTGGGTTCTACATCCATCAAAGGTACATAAGGGGTTTCCGAGAATTTCCCCTAAAAGCATTCCCGGATTCTCCATCAAGGGAGCTGTTTGCAGCAACTTCCTTGCCCTGAGCTCTGAACAGAGAAATTGATAAAGATTGGGATGATGGATTCTGGAGCATCCTTCTGCAACCACAACCTGAAGCAGAAGAAATGTTAAAATACCATGCCAAGTATGACTGAGTGTTTAATTCAATGCTGGCTATCCATATTGACCTGAAGCAAGACAGTTAGGCCCGGGGCGACAAGTACAAAGACTTTCCAGTCCCTGTCTGGCCAGCCACAATGACGTGCTTGTCCTCCAGATTGACAAAGCATCACGGCCGAACCGCCACGAAATTGGTCTAACAGTTTAACAAAGAGAGCAAGGAAACGCCTTCAAAAGTGACAAGCAGAGAGGACAAACCACTTGACTCATTTTGCCGTTGAAGTGTTCAACAAAAGCAGAGGCATCCAGTCCTTCAACAGGAGAGTGGAGAAGGTGTGCGTCAAACGGATGGAGTCCACGGTTGGCCTTGCCAGGTTGAGACGACAGAACTACACTAGTCGTCATTGCTCACAGCAAAGCTCAGTGCTACAAATGAAAAGTAAGGCCAACACACAACGATATTCTGATACTCAGGGCCTGGGAAAAGAAGCACACTTTACGCAATGAATTAAAAGGCCCATGTCCAAGATCAAGCGGGGACTGTCTGAAAAGCTCCAAAGCTAAGGGATCAACGTGGAGGCACCGTATACTTGGGCGCCTCAATTGACCGAACCCTGAATATCTGCAGCACATTGCACCAAATGTCTTTCATCCGAGGCTGCGCACGAAGGTCAACCAGGGCGTCCATTGGCCTTCTCTTTCACCCTCAGCCAGCAAGACATAGCCAAACTATGTACAGATTGTACGGTAGAACCATGTGACATCAATGATCCTTGCCATTGACCAGCCTCAAGCTCGTAGATGAAGTCGTACCTCAGGCCCAACAATTCAAGGTGGAGACTTGGTTTTGCTTCTACATGGACTTCAACAGGCTTGATCCAGTCCACAAAGAGGAAGATATGGGCCGAGCTGCTCCACTGCAAAAACACGGAGATGATTCAGATATGCACGGAAAAATATGAACTGATCAAGGTCCGTCAAGTTCACCTGAGTGTTTCCAAGCTACCAAAACATGCTGCTGTCCAGCTTGCCTCCGACCTGCTCGCAAACTGACACATTCTGCGGAGACAAACCCATCACCTGGCGGCCTACGTGGGTGTGTCTGAAAATGGGGTGCGCCAGTATACAGTATTCAGTATACCCCAAAAGTAGTGATTTTAAGACAAAACTTTGATGATCAACCCCGCACGCTCAAAAACAATCAGCATCCCCACGAACCTCATCCCCATTCTCCTTCACCAACTCCCAGAGCTTCTCCTAGGCTGTCACCCACCATGTCAACGCGTGAACGCTTCCACTCGAGCAGGCCGGACCACCTTTGGGGATGGGAAAGTCATGGAAAGTCAGCAGTGCAGGCGAGCTGCATTGAAGATGAGATCTGACGCCCCTTGTTGTCACAGGTTGCACCTCAATCAACGACTATTGCCTGTTGACCCCCAAAGACTGCAAAGACTATCAGTTGACAGTCTGAGGAAGATCGAATTGTGCAGTTTAATGTATTAATATCATAAACCCAATAATAGACAACCCCAAAATTCACCAGATATGGGTCGTATAAACCCTCCAAACTTGTAGGTTTATTGTTGGGTGCATCACATTACCTGGGAGGGCAATGCTTCAGGCAACAACTGAAGTCTCTTATCTCAGCACTTCACCCACAGACCAAACCAGCGTGAAAAAGTAGAGCCGCACGAAGTGCGACCTAAAAGGCTCTTTCGAAGCCAGCGAATTCCAAGACCAAATGGATTGCATCATTTGCAACACATCTCTCTGCAAAAGGATAAAACTAAGACAACCATATAATAATTATAATAGACCCTCAAGCGCTATCCAGCGCTAATCGATGGAAGGAAAACTTGGGCACAATGGGGTGCAACAAGCCAAGTTTCTCAACTATGAAATGATCCAACAATCCAACACAGTCCATCCACGGTCTGAGACAGCAACTGCAATTTGTTGATCCAATCAGGGCTCGGTGTCTTCGTTTGAGTTGGAATGCAGGCCGAAAAGTAGCAATCCATCAACCTGAGAGATTGCCCTTTCACAGTTGCATCATGCAACATGGCTATAGGTCAAAATTGGATACCCCAATCACTAGATGGTTAATAAGTTTATACTCAACATCTACATCATTCTACTTCCAGTTACTATATCATCTGTGGTTCCCCCACTGACTTCAATGTTGACCCATCCCCATCCCCACCGTCGCTGCCTGAAGTGCGACTGGCCAATGTTGTTGTCCACCGTCATGGACGGCGCCTTCGTCTGCTCGCGCACGATTCGGATCATCGGCAGGGTGAAATCCTGGGCGAAAGGGGCCTTACAGAATACCTGCAGTTAAAGCCCTAGAAACCAGTCATAAATGGTTTTAAAAATTTATGAGTGGTTAAAAAAAATGGTTGTAAATGGGTTATCATCCGAAAAATGTGGTTATAACCAGTTCATAAAACTGGTAAAGGGCCATAACAGGCCATAACTGTATGCCCCACAAGGGAGTATTTACACTTCATTATTTACAAACACGTCTCAAGATGCCAAACTGGTCTGTTTGTTGAACGACTTTAAACGTATATTTTTGTAGGGCACAGTAGATCTTCAGCAATGACTCAACATGCCAAGTTTGTTCATTTGTTGAAGGGGGTGCTAGCTAGGTAGGGTCGAGGAGATGTAAATTTAGAAAATGACTCCGCATGGCAACTTTCTTCATACCTTAAACCATTTGTCTGGCAGGGTCGAAGGGACGGAAATTCCAAGCATCACTCGACATGCGAAATCTCTCCATATGTTCAACGTGTTGCTTTGTAGGGTCGATGGGCTGTAAATTTCAAAAATGACTCAGGATTCCTTTTATTCATGTGCTCAACGTATGGTTTTGTTGTAGGGGAAGGCAAGGAACATTTTAACATAAGTCAAGATGCCACGCTGATTCATACGTTAAACAAAATGTTTTGTAGGGGACAAGACAGGTAAATCCAAAAAAATGAATCAACATGTCAACTTGATCCATATTATGTTGAATGTATTGATTTGTAGGGTCAATGTTGGGTAAAATTCCAAAATGTTCAACTATTTTCTTTGTAGGGTCGAGAAGGGAAAATTTGAAAATTGACGCGACATGTAAGTTTTCTCGGTATGCTAAACGTTTTATTTTGTAGGGCCGAGGGGTTGTAAATTGTAAAAATGATTCAAGATGCAATTTTTCTTCATCTGTTCAATGTGTGAATTGGAAAAGGAGGGGGGTGAAATGTTTCAAGACAAATCAACATTTCAACTTTGTTCATGCGTATATTAAACGCATTTTTTGGGGGAATAAGAAATACATTTTGAACATGACTCAGGATGCCACGTTGGTTCATATGTTGAACGTAGTGCTTTCAAGAGGACAGTGACGAAATCTACAAAATTGCTCAATATGCCAATTTTCTTCACATGTTTAACGTACTGCTGTGTAGGGTCGGGGGGTCGTAACTTTCAAAAATGACTCAAGATGAATTGTCTTAATTTGTTGTTTTGTTGTAGGGGAAGGAAATGACATTTGAATCATGACTCGAGATGCCAAGTTAGCTCTAATGTTGAACGGACGTAGTGTTTTGTAGGGGACAGGCGGGCAAGTTTGTAGCAATGACTCGACTCAACATGTCAACTTCATGGTAAGGTCAGGGCGGAATAAATTTCAAAATTGGCTCAAGATCTCAATTTGTTTCATGTGTTCAACATTCATATTGTTTTGTGGCGGGGGGAGGCATAAAAAAATTGAGCTGACTTAACCTTCATCTGTGTTCATAGTCCACGTGTTGCTTTGCAAGGGGGGGGAAATATTTTAAACGTAACTCAAGATGCTACGTTGGTTCATATGTTCAACTATGTTAAACGTAGTGTTTTGATGAGGTAAACCGATCAGAAGAACTCAGCCAGTCAATTGTTTCCATAAGATCAAAATATTACCTGGCTCAAAATGCCAATTTTCTTCGTCTGTTCAGCGTATTGTTTTGTAGGGTAGGGTCGAGGGGCTGAAATATGTGAAAACAAATCAACACTTTTGACTTTGTTCATAAACTCAACGTGATGTTTTGTGAGGAAGGAAAGGACATGTTCAATATGATTCAAGATGCCCAGTTCGTTGACATGTTGAACGTATTTCCTTGTGGGGGATGTGTTTGAAAATCTATATGACACTGACTAAATGTGGCAACTGTCCATATACAGTAATATATGTTGAACCTATTGCTTTGCAGGGCTGATGGAAGGTAGATTTATTGCCACTCTTACGCGCTAGATGTTCTGACATAGTTTGCGACATACCATCTGGAAGTATTTATGGCAAATATATTCTGATATTCATTGATATTCTATCTGACATTCTACCATGAACACTGACAACACTGGATTGTTGAGATTTCATGTGGATAGCGGGGATTGACCAGCTATCACCCAAGTAAGACTCATCATTTGGATCAGGAAAACCACTGGTTTGGGGATCAACTTTGAAGTAACCCCAAGCGTACAATAGAGCAAACATGTGTTTCGGCAAAGAGAAGTGTGCCCAAAAAGGGGGTCCCAGTCTTTCATCAATTTTTGTGGCTCTTTTTGGTGATAGAGAAACAGATTTTGGCGGATCCTGAGAAACACCCAAACGTGGATTGAAATAGCTTTTACAACAATCATTTAAGCAGCAAATGAACCTGTTTGGATGTTGAGCCACCAGAGCATGGGCGGAACAGGTGGGCTGAACTGTTGACAGTTCAAGTCCACAAGGCGCTGGTTGAATGGTCGAATGGTCTTGTCCTTTGGCTTTTGAATGCTTCAAATTTTGGTACAGTGTACATAATTTCTGGGTCCAAATTCGATGCCTTCTCCAGATATGGAAAAAGACATCCTTGGCACTGGAAAAACTGATTACCCTAATGTTAACACATACTGTTGGCTGTGCCTGAAAATGGGGCATACCCCCTACATTCGATCATTTGTTGGGGATAATGATGATGAACCATTGATTTGAGAATTTTGAGATGTACCACATTTTCAAAAATCAAATCAAACATAATGTGTATATCAAATTGTATTAACCATATTATCAGTGAATTCAATGCGTATTATCTGTGGCAATCTATGCATTTGTTCGGCTCGGCCCGCCTACAGGCAGCGAGTTCCGATCTTGTCCCAGTCTCTGTTGGTCGTCAGCCTTGGTTGAACCAGTCCGTGAAAATGCGGTTATTGTATCATCAATCTGTGTTGTTCCAGGTCAACGACGGTAGACGGGACCTCTGGGTGGGTTCATCACCTGCATTGCATCGTGCAAAAATCCCAAAAACAAAGGTATAGCAATTGAAAAGTGATTCTCTTTGAGCAAATGTCATCCTTTGTCAGGTTGTGCCTGTGCTGGATACGTTTGAGGAGCCACATAGACCGGAGCCGGCATCGGATACCCTGCAGACAGCAACTTCCTTTGCAAACTCTAAAACCTTCAAGTTTTGAAGCAAGGCCAAATGCATCTGAAGATTTAGCAATCTAAAGTCGTTTGTGAAGTTGTGCTGCCATTTGAATCGCCGTGCGTTTGTCCATGGCCTGCAGCTGCAACTTGATCAGGCCTGCAAAGTACACACAAGGCAAAGAACCAGTTGCAGCGGTAAACGGGCCATGCGCACTTCAGATTTATGGACTGCTGAATAATCAACACACACTTTATTGAAGCGCGGCCTGGGCAGGGCTACGTTTGGCACCTGCCACGGTCGGCAACCGCTCCCTTTTTGTTTTTACCGTCTCTGTGCTGAAGCTGTCCATGCTGTATCTAGGCCCCTCTTGGGGGTGCATCCCATTTAGTAGGTGAGTCATAAGCAGATTAGACCCCAGTATACCCCAGCTATACATGGAATATTCCCAAAGAAAATGAATAATACACCATATATTTTGCTATCTTACTCAGCGGGTTTCCGTGCAAAAAAACATATTGTTTTGGTTGGGTTCGCGCGCGAATTTTGGGTATAAAATGGAGACCTTTGCGCGCGCGAGCCCAACCAAAAAACATCTAAAATTTGGACGCTTGCTGAGTGACTTATAAACCACTGACAGACTGAAATGCACATCCAAGTAGGATGAAGTAGGCAAATGTAGGAAATTCATGGCAAGGCACCTGGGCCATTGCAACTTGCTGTCCAGCTCGAGCTTGCCACCCAAAGCCTGGCCTGGCAAACTTCGGGATGAGGCGTCAAAACTGATCAGATCACGCAGGTCACGCAGCAGGATGGTGCAGGATGGTGCAGGTCTCGTTTGAGCCCGGGACATGGACGTAGGTAGCGCCCGCATCGCTCCAGGCACATGCGCATGTCTTGGCATCACCTGCGCCACTGGCTGCGCCACTGGCTGCGCTCGCTGCGCAACTGGCTGCACACCTGGACAGAAAAAGAAGATTGATGAACGGAAGAAATATTTACTGTAACATCTGTAACTCTGTAACTGACTGAAAATCTGAGTAGTTGATAGATGCTGATAGTATCGTTAAGTATCTAAAACAAGAGCAAAGCACAGCCTCAGCAAAGACAGTCATGGTCACTGCGAAAACCACTGAAACATGTCCAATGGTCCAATGAAACAACTTGTAACTCACCTGCACCTGTCCCACATCGAATCTGCCCTGGATGTCTCTGGCTGTTTCAGCCTCAACACCTCATGGCCAAAGCATCAGGGTCAGGTTTTTCAGAGACAAATGTGTCTTTCAGACGTCAGTTCTGGCATGAACATCAAAACTCCCGCAAAAAAGTGTCAACCTCCCGCAAAAAACGTCAAACTCCCGCAAATCCCGAAAAGTCATACAATCAAAATTTCTAGAACCCACCTGATCACATCATTGACTGCAAACCGTATGACAAACGCATGGTCACTGGAAATTCGTTGCAACAGTTGCAACTCCTGGAATTCTGAACTTTACTCGAAAGCAAGAAATGCTAGAAATTTCTCTGAAAAGGATGATCCTGGTCCAGTCAATGTGAAATTGGTCGGATTGCTGTGCTGCCGGGCTAATCGGTCCACCTAGTAATTATGGAATCCCAATGGTCGAGAAGTTACTCATAGGAGGTCATATTCCATACTAGTACTATGGAAGATGACCTCCTACGAGTAACGTTGGCCACAATGCTGCAGCTTCGCACGGGCAATGGTCGACATTCTCCTCGACCATTGCCCGTGCGAAGCTGCAGCAGTTGTGGCCAACAAGCTCGTAGTCATCGCCTTGAAAATCCTGGTTGTGGCCGGGTGCTTTTGTCCGAAACAAAACATCTCTGTGCAACTGAATTTGCCTCAAGTGCCATCAGTGCCATCCTGTCCTGGAATGACTCAGTCAAAAGATTTGCGAATCCCGCGACATTCATTTCTGAATGCCCCAGAAAGACGCTGCACCTCGGCTTCTACAGAGACTTTGGGAGGCACTGCAAAGCACGGCGTTTCCTACTGTTTCCTGAGTTAGAGGCTTGTAGATGTGTCGCGTCGGCACGCGTGGGATTGTTTTCTTAACCTCGCTTCACGCAGGTTCACACTGCAAAGAACCGATGCGAATCACATCGAGGATTGACAGGACTTCAGGTTCAGATGTTTTGACTGCGCAATTTTGGGGTATAAAATGGAGACCTTTGTGCGCGCGAGCCCAACCAAAAAACATCTAAAATTTGGACGCTTGCTGAGTGACTTATAAACCACTGACAGACTGAAATGCACATCCAAGTAGGATGAAGTAGGCAAATGTAGGAAATCCATGGCAATTCCAGGCACCTGGGCCATTGCAACTTGCTGTCCAGCTTGAGCTTGCCACCCAAAGCCTGGCCTGGCAAACTTCGGGATGAGGCGTCAAAACTGATCAGATCACGCAGGTCACGCAGCAGGATGGTGCAGGATGGTGCAGGTCTCGTTTGAGCCCGGGACATGGACGTAGGTAGCGCCCGCATCGCTCCAGGCACATGCGCATGTCTTGGCATCACCTGCGCCACTGGCTGCGCCACTGGCTGCGCACCTGGACTGAAAAAGAAGATTGATGACTGGAAGAAATATTTTCTGTAACATCTGTAACTCTGTAACTGACTGAAAATCTGAGTAGTTGATAGATGTTGATAGTATCGTTAAGTATCTAAAACAAGAGCAAAGCACAGCCTCAGCAAAGACAGTCACGGTCACTGCGAAAACCACTGAAACATGTCCAATGGTCCAATGAAACAACTTGTAACTCACCTGCACCTGTCCCACATCGAATCTGCCCTGGATGTCTCTGGCTGTTTCAGCCTCAACACCTCATGGCCAAAGCATCAGGGTCAGGTTTTTCAGAGACAAATGTGTCTTTCAGACGTCAGTTCTGGCATGAACATCAAAACTCCCGCAAAAAAGTGTCAACCTCCCGCAAAAAAAATCAAACTCCCGCAAATCCCGAAAAGTCATACAATCAAAATTTCTAGAACCCACCTGATCACATCATTGACTGCAAACCGTATGACAAACGCATGGTCACTGGAAATTCGTTGCAACAGTTGCAACTCCTGGAATTCTGAACTTTACTCGAAAGCAAGAAATGCTAGAAATTTCTCTGAAAAGGATGATCCAGGTCCAGTCAATGTGAAATTGGTCGGATTGCGGTGCTGCCGGGCTAATCGGTCCACCCAGTATGGAATCCCAATGGTCGAGAAGTTACTCATAGGAGGTCATATTCCATACTAGTACTATGGAAGATGACCTCCTACGAGTAACGTTGGCCAAAACTGCTGCAGCTTCGCACGGGCAATGGTGGAGATTCTTCTCGACCATTGCCCGTGCGAAGCTGCAGCAGTTGTGGCCAACAAGTTCGTAGTCATCGCCTTGAAAATCCTGGTTGTGGCCGGGTGCTTTTGTCCGAAACAAAACATCTCTGTGCAACTGAATTTGCCTCAAGTGCCATCAGTGCCATCCTGTCCTGGAATGACTCAGTCAAAAGATTTGCGAATCCCGCGACATTCATTTCTGAATGCTCCAGGAAGACGCTGCACCTCGGCTTCTACAGAGACTTTGCGAGGCACTGCAAAGCACGGTGTTTCCTACTGTTTCCTGGGTTAGAGGCTTGTAGATGTGTCGCGTCGGCACGCGTGGGATTGTTTTCTTAACCTCGCTTCACGCAGGTTCACACTGCAAAGAACCGATGCGAATCACATCGAGGATTGACAGGACTTCAGGTTCAGATGTTTTGACTGCGCAATTTTGGGGTATAAAATGGAGACCTTTGCGCGCGCGAGCCCAACCAAAAAACATCTACTAGACGACGGATGGCCCGAGAGCGTAGAGGAGCAGAGTCTTCTGTTGTTAGTATGGAGACACGCTTTTTACACACAGGCTCTTTTACACACAGACGCTTTTACACACAGACGCTTTTACACACAGACGCTTTTTACACGCAGGCGCTTTTACACACAGAAGCTTTTACACACAGACGCTTTTGCACACAGACCCTTTTACACACAGACGCTTTTACACACAGACGCTTTTTTACACACAGGCTCTTTTACCACAGAGACTTTTACACACAGAGACGCTTTTACACACAGAGACTTTTACACACAGACGCTTTTACACACAGACACCTTTACACACAGACGCTTTTACACACAGACGCTTTTACACACAAACGCTTTCTACACACAGGGGCTTTTACACACAGAAGCTTTTACACACAGACGCTTTTACACACAGACACTTTAACACACAACAATCAAGCTGTGAGCAAAAACTCCACAATCCAAAAATCAGTGAATCCCAATGTAACTTCATTAATCCATTCATATTTCTTTCAGGGTAAAAGTAAGCATGCCTACTAAACATGCCAAGCAAACAAGTCAGGACTGCGTCAAACTTGCCAGCAAGGCCTGAACATGACAGGGATGACCGGAAAACAAACACGCCAAAGAATCAACGGGGCAAGAAAACAAAACATGTAAGCAAGGCTGCTTTGACACACACACACACATTGCCGCTGTCACACAGAAACACCTGTTGCACAGAAACCCTGGTGCACACACACCATTTTACACAGAGACGCTTTAAGACACAAACCCTTTTACACACAGACACTTTTACACACAAAAGCTTTTACACACAGACACTTCTACACAGATGCACTTCTACACACAAACACTATTACACACAAACATCTTGACACAGAAACACTCTTACACACAAACCCTTTTACACAGAGACACTTTTACACACAAAAGCTTTTACACAAAAACACTTCTACACAGATGCACTTGTACACGCAAACACTTTTACACACAAACATCTTTACACCGAAACACTCCGACGCACAAACGCTTTTTACACACAGAAGCTTTTACACACAAACACGTTTAAACAGATGCAATTTTACATACGTTCACTTTTACACACAAACATCTTTACACAGAACCACTCGTACACACACACCCGTTTACACACAAAGACTTTTACACACAGAAGGTTTTACACACAACACTTTTACACAGATGCACTTGTACACACAAACACTTTTACACACAAACATCTTTACACAGAAACGCTCGTACACACAAATCCCTTTGCATGCGAAAGGGTTACTCCAGCACACAAAAAAATCGCAATTTTACCTCAGTTTTTGCCGATCGACCCTCATTTCGCGCGAAAGGGTTGCTCCGGTACACGAAAAATCGCAATTTTACCTCAGTTTTTGCCGATCGACCCTCATTTCGTGTGAAAGGGTTGCTCCGGGACAAGTCAAATCGCAATTTTACCTCAGTTTTTGCCGATCGACCTTCATTTCGTGCGAAAGGGTTGCCGTAGCACAAGTCAAATCGCAATTTTACCTCAGTTTTTGCCGATCGACCCTCATTTTGTGTGAAAGGGTTGCTCCGGGACAAGTCAAATCGCAATTTTACCTCAGTTTTTGCCGATCGACCTTCATTTCGTGCGAAAGGGTTGCCCCAGGACAAGAAAAATCGCAATTTTACCTCAGTTTTTGCCGATCGACCCTCATTTCGTGCGAAAGGGTTGCTCCGGGACAAGTCAAATCGCAATTTTACCTCAGTTTTTGACGATCGACCCTCATTTCGTGCGAAAGGGTTGGCGTTTCGTGACTCACCGCCGGCACCACCCTCGGCCTAAAGAGAGAAAGATAAAGAAGGCGAGAGAGAGAAAAGGGAGAGAGAAAGGAGAGAAGATGTGAAGATGAGAAGATGTGAGAGAAGGTATGAAGATGAGCAGATGTGAAGATGAGCAGATGTGAAGATGATCAGATGTGAGAGAAGATGTGAAGATGAGCAGATGTGAGAGAAGATGTGAGAGAATATGTAAGAGAAGATGTGAAGATGAGCAGATGTGAAGATGAGCAGATGTGAGAGAAGATGTGAGAGAAGAGGTGAAGATGAGCAAATGTGAAGATGAGCAGATGTGAAGATGAGCAGATGTGAAGATGAGCAGATGTGAGAGAAGAAGAGAAGATGTGAGAGAAGATATGAAGAAAGATGAGCAGATGAGAGAAGATGTGAGAGAAGATGTGAGAGAAGATATGAAAATGAACAGATGTGAGAGAAGATGTGAGAGAAGATGTGAGAGAAGATGTGAAGATGAGCAGATGTGAAGATGAGCAGATGTGAAGATGAGCTGATGTGAAGATGAGCAGATGTGAAGATGAGAAGGTGTGAAGAGGAGCAGATGTGAAGATGAGCAGATGTGAAGATGAGCAGATGTGAAGATGAGAAGATGTGAAGATGAGAAGATGAGATACAGACCCCCACTATTGGAAGAACCCTGCGCTCAGACTCTCTCGGGAAAAATTTGGACGCTTGCTGAGTGACTTATAAAACCACTGACAGACTGAAATGCACATCCAAGTAGGATGAAGTAGGCAAATGTAGGAAATTCATGGCAAGGCACCTGGGCCATTGCAACTTGCTGTCCAGCTCGAGCTTGCCACCCAAAGCCTGGCCTGGCAAACTTCGGGATGAGGCGTCAAAACTGATCAGATCACGCAGGTCACGCAGCAGGATGGTGCAGGATGGTGCAGGTCTCGTTTGAGCCCGGGACATGGACGTAGGTAGCGCCCGCATCGCTCCAGGCACATGCGCATGTCTTGGCATCACCTGCGCCACTGGCTGCGCCACTGGCTGCGCTCGCTGGGCAACTGGCTGCACACCTGGACAGAAAAAGAAGATTGATGAACGGAAGAAATCCGCCCGCACCGAAGGTGCTGGGGCGTGATCTTCCGGATGGCACTCGTAAAAAGGTTACAGGTTTACCTGGGGGGGGGGCATTTTTCGTCCAAAACCTCCTGTTTTTGATAGGTCGTGACGCTCGCCTTCAAAAAACACTGTAAAAAACAGTACGGAAGACACCTGTTCGTGAACGCGCCCGTCCAAAATCGGCAAGCGAAAAGTGAAAAAAAACCGTGTTTTTCAACTTTTTGACCTCAATTTTTTGGTTTGCAACATCTTTTTTTGCGATTCCGCAGGTGGCCGGGCCCGGAGGCGGATTTTTGAGTTTTTGGACCCGTTTTCGGACTGATTTTCGTCGGTTTGTGATAGCAGAAACACTGGTTTTTACAGTGTTTTTCTGTTTTCTGCATGCTTGACGGCTAGCTTCAAAACTTCCAAAAACCTCGTAAATTACGCTGTTTTATGTTACGGTGTGAATGAAAACATCGTAAATACCAGTGTTTTTTGATGTTGGTTAAAAAAACACTGTAAATTACAGTGTTTTTGGCCACCTGACCCTCGAAAACCATAGTATTTGCAGTGGTTTCTGCTTCTCACCGCGCAAAAACACTGTAAATAACAGCAATTTCGCCGTTTTTTCATGTTTTGCGTTATTTTTTGAACTGTGTTGGTCCGCTATACATGGCTATCAAATTCTTCGCGTTTTTTTTTCCGACAATCGGTACTTTCGGATGATTTTGGTCTCAATGGCCGACATCATTGGCAGTTACGAGCGGCTGCCCAACGATGCGGTGCGGGCGGTTGCCGTCGCGAAGCGACGTGAATATTTACTGTAACATCTGTAACTCTGTAACTGACTGAAAATCTGAGTAGTTGATAGATGCTGATAGTATCGTTAAGTATCTAAAGCAAGAGCAAAGCACAGCCTCAGCAAAGACAGTCACGGTCACTGCGAAAACCACTGAAACATGTCCAATGGTCCAATGAAACAACTTGTAACTCACCTGCACCTGTCCCACATCGAATCTGCCCTGGATGTCTCTGGCTGTTTCAGCCTCAACACCTCATGGCCAAAGCATCAGGGTCAGGTTTTTCAGAGACAAATGTGTCTTTCAGACGTCAGTTCTGGCATGAACATCAAAACTCCCGCAAAAAAGTGTCAACCTCCCGCAAAAAAAATCAAACTCCCGCAAATCCCGAAAAGTCATACAATCAAAATTTCTAGAACCCACCTGATCACATCATTGACTGCAAACCGTATGACAAACGCATGGTCACTGGAAATTCGTTGCAACAGTTGCAACTCCTGGAATTCTGAACTTTACTCGAAAGCAAGAAATGCTAGAAATTTCTCTGAAAAGGATGATCCAGGTCCAGTCAATGTGAAATTGGTCGGATTGCTGTGCTGCCGGGCTAATCGGTCCACCCAGTATGGAATCCCAATGGTCGAGAAGTTACTCATAGGAGGTCATATTCCATACTAGTACTATGGAAGATGACCTCCTACGAGTAACGTTGGCCACAACTGCTGCAGCTTCGCACGGGCAATGGTCGACATTCTTCTCGACCATTGCCCGTGCGAAGCTGCAGCAGTTGTGGCCAACAAGCTCGTAGTCATCGCCTTGAAAATCCTGGTTGTGGCCGGGTGCTTTTGTCCGAAACAAAACATCTCTGTGCAACTGAATTTGCCTCAAGTGCCATCAGTGCCATCCTGTCCTGGAATGACTCAGTCAAAAGATTTGCGAATCCCGCGACATTCATTTCTGAATGCTCCAGGAAGACGCTGCACCTCGGCTTCTACAGAGACTTTGCGAGGCACTGCAAAGCACGGTGTTTCCTACTGTTTCCTGGGTTAGAGGCTTGTAGATGTGTCGCGTCGGCACGCGTGGGATTGTTTTCTTAACCTCGCTTCACGCAGGTTCACACTGCAAAGAACCGATGCGAATCACATCGAGGATTGACAGGACTTCAGGTTCAGATGTTTTGACTGCGCAATTTTTGGGTATAAAATGGAGACCTTTGTGCGCGCGAGCCCAACCAAAAAACATCTAAAATTTGGACGCTTGCTGAGTGACTTATAAAACCACTGACAGACTGAAATGCACATCCAAGTAGGATGAAGTAGGCAAATGTAGGAAATTCATGGCAAGGCACCTGGGCCATTGCAACTTGCTGTCCAGCTCGAGCTTGCCACCCAAAGCCTGGCCTGGCAAACTTCGGGATGAGGCGTCAAAACTGATCAGATCACGCAGGTCACGCAGCAGGATGGTGCAGGATGGTGCAGGTCTCGTTTGAGCCCGGGACATGGACGTAGGTAGCGCCCGCATCGCTCCAGGCACATGCGCATGTCTTGGCATCACCTGCGCCACTGGCTGCGCCACTGGCTGCGCCACTGAGAGGTGCAGCCCACACAGAACCCTGTCCTCTCTAACTTAGTCACACCAAGTATTCCACTAAAAAAACATGATTGATCATTATCAGTACGGATCATCAAACATCATACACTATCAGTGCTTCTATATAGTACGTTATTAGTAAACACGCTTATCAAACATCCCATCAGTTCCCACATGGGTTGATTAGCGACGCTCACAGTCCTTGGACTCGGACTCCGAGGGGCAACGTCAAGATCCACACCTCAACGCTTCAACCGTGCAAACAGTTGGAGAGATTCATACCACCCAAAAAAAACACAATATATATAATATATAATATAATATAATATATATATATATTTATATTTAATATTTATCTATATTTGTATATTGTATAATATTGTATAAACATGATTATACATGTTTTTTGTATAGACATAAACAGGGCGTATGATGGTTAATAAATGTTAATAATGGTTAATATATGGCTAAAAGAAAGACTGCTTGCAACACACCTTGGGACAAAACTGTCGCACAGCCCTCACGCCACAACTTTGAGCAGCATCTTCAAGCAATGATCGGTCCATCCATCACAGCGTCCGCGTTGGACCCTGCGTAAAAATGGAAAGGACACAGCGCATGTGTTACTAAAAATGAGTGCAGAAAAGGTCTTCTCTGAATGTGATGTCTGGACTGCTCCCGTCAACTTGCAGCCATGGCCGTGAAGTCTGAGTGAAGTCCACTCAGCGGCAATTGTTGGACAAAGTGATGAAATCCATCCAGCAGCACATGACTGTCAAACTGGCACCAGCATAGGCACTGCATGTGGCATGCTCTCCCAACTTTCCTCCAGCAGGGCAAGGAGGGATCTTTTGTTTCATGTTTTTCAAAGACACCCATCCAGTGCTTGAAACGCTGGCCGAAAGAGTCCCGGAACAGGAGCCGTACTCGTCTGGCTTGAACAGGGAATTCTCGGTAAGATCAGAGTCACCAGAGTTTGAATCCATGGTTTTGGTACTGACACCACAAGAGATGCTTGCAGCGAAGCTCACTCCACCCCACACACCAGCGCCTTTGCCACTAGAGGGGCCGATGGTCAGGCTGATGAAGAGGGATAGCCAAACAGAGGGAAAATGTTTTCCTTGAATCAGAGCTTTGAACGGGATCACGAAGGTATCATCGGGCATTGGCTTACCAGCAAATGCTTGGGCAACCTTTGCAGGATCCATTCCGATAAGGTCTTTCCAGCCCATCTTGTTCACCCAGGAGGCTCCAGTGGACAAACCGATGCTCCCAGAAACGGGTCCTGAGCTCACAGAATAGCCAGCACCCCCGAACACGTTCGTTGATCCGAAGCAACGGAGCAATGACATGATGATATTGACGAGCTCCTCAGGAACTGCATCCCATGCCTTTGCGGCATATTTTTCCAAATTGTCCTTGACAGGGCCAGGGATCTTGTTCCACACCTCTGCCGGAACACCTGCATCCATATTCTTCACGACATCCACCGCTGCCTGACCATACTTCTTGGCCAGGTTTTTTGCTTTATCCACCTTCTTCTTGGCCCATTTGCCGATGTTCTTTCGGCGGCGACGGCGGCGGCGGCCGCTCAGGACATCTGAGACCTCAAGTGATTGGGCATACTTCACAAACAGCTCGGTGCCAAGGATGCTCATGGCATGGGCAGCATCCAATTGGGCCACGGACCTCATTGCAGAAGCTACGAAACCATGTGTTGCCTTCTTGTTTCGATTGTGATACCAATGGAAGCTCTGTTCAGAGACCTTTTGGTGTCCGTTAAAGAAACCGAAGAAAGCCGACTGATGAAGTCTCACAAAGCGTTGCATCTTGTTCTCCAGCTGCACACGAGAAGTCACTTCAGCTTTCAAAGCTGTCAGGACGGTTGTGCGAGGAAGGCTTGAATCCAAAAGGGACATGCTGTGCTCATGAGAGCCGAAGTAGACATCCCAGAAACGTGTGTGGTCACAACCCATCGTGTGACAAACTGGTTGCCATGCACTTTCCAGTTGTTGCTGTGTGTGCACCATTGAGCTATTCAATTCATGTTCATTCAAGATGCGATGAGAAGAAGTCAATGCCTTTCTGAAAGCCACCGAAGTGGCCATGGTCGAGGTCTTCTGATTCGACTGAAGCAAGGACAAGTCGACATCTTCGTCACTGCTGCACTTGTACTCCTCTGGGATGTCCATGACTGGCTCATTCATTGCCGTCGAAGTCTCCTCCTGCATCAGAGACATCTGTAGCAAAGTAGCAGTGAGGTCGTCGAAACGTGCCACCTGATCTCCAAAGGTTCGACCGTCAACATCCCGGTCAACTTCCCAATCTTGGCTGGGTCAGCATGGGTCACCCATACTCCCTAAAACCAACTAAAACCCACAAACCCAATCATACCCACTCTTTCAATTACAAGCTTCCTCATCTTCACACAATGTAGGGAACACAATCATCTTCAAACGTAACAAAACATCGTCCAACACATCAGCAACCGTACCTGCTCCATGTAGGAGGCATAGACGTAGAGCGGCACATGCACAGGCACGGCCGATTGCAGCAAACACATTGCGACTGAGATGCACTCCCTGATGGTGCCCGCATGGCGTTTGGGGCAATAGAGGGGGCCATCCGTTCCCATGTGCTGGTGCAAAATGGTGTAGAAGCCATCCACTTTGTCATAGAGCAGTTCGAGATCAGCCAGCAGGTCGCCAAAGCTGTGTGTGACCTGGTTTACTGATTCGATCAAGCACACACAAACACCACTCTCGCATATGCTGGGATAGGACTGATGTATATCTTACAAAATGGTTTCCATGTATTTCCTATGCACGGGATGTTCAAACAAGAGCTCGCATCTGCCAGTGAAACCCACGAACCCCTGTCATCCACAACCATGACCAACCAATAAACCTTACTCATATGCAAGGGGACACAAACAAACAACCAACCAAACAAACAAACAGAAAAACAAATAACTAACAAACAAACAAACAAACAAACAAAATGACTCAATGACCCTTAGTGAACATTCAAAGAATTTGAAACGTCTCAGGTGATTTCCATGCACAACTCAGCCCAAGACATCGCTGGTGACGGCTTCGTTGTGGTGCATGATAAGCCCTGTGTAGTTCGACAAGTTCACGAGGACCACAGGCAACGCCAGGGCCAAGTCAAATCGGGTGTTCGCCAGGCTGAGGTTCAAACTCTCCACTTCCATCTCCACTTCCACAGGAACCTCGACTGGCTCAGTCCCAAACTTGAAGGCATCAGAGAAGACGCCAAGCAGGATTGCTTGGAGGAATTGCTTCATTGTGTTGAGAACAGGATCGCTCGGAAAAGAAGATCGCCCGACCCTTGATCCAACGCTGAGTCGGGTGAGCGTTTGAATGCCACTGATCAATCTCAGCACTGTTCAGTCAAAGCATGGGCGATTTTCTGCATGTTTACTACCAATCTGGTTGCCAAGTCCAAAACAATTCAGAAACTGTCCTTCTCTTGCAAGGCTTAGCCTCTCTCCAAGATCGCACACTATAGTAACTATAGTAGTTGATCATGGCAATGAGAAAAATACAGATTGCAAATGACTATCGCTGAAAAGGGTGGATGCCGCTTGCCATGACAAAATCTGCAGACTGAGTGAAAACGGCTCAGAAAATTGAAAGCATCTTGCAGCCTCGCAAAGTATTCTCAGGCCTGGACTGTCTGATGAGAGCAGCCATTGTAAAGCCTTGGTTGTTGCCCTCGTCAATTCATTCTGATTTGAAGTCTAAATCTCTCAAAGTGAACTTGGCAAGTCCTTGAAGTGGCAAAAACATCAAGCCCATAGTAAAAAATAACTACCATTTGCTTACAGCACACCTGGTAGCTCCTTAGCTCTTTCTTTCAAAGGGTATCTGGGTACCTCTGGGTACCCCTGCCTCCTTAGCTCCCACCAGCAACTTCGACAGCCAGAACCCATGGGGCCGCGGCTCTTCTCCATCGCCAGGGCCATGTCCTTGCCCCACTCGTCATAGGCTCAACCTTGGTGCTCCGAGACATGAGCCACGGAATGCTTCGTGCATGGTAAGCAATGGCATCATCTCAGCCCGTGGGGCAGTGATCATCAAGTGTGATACTTAGCCATGTTCTGACAGATGGATTTGAATGAGCTTCACTATAGTAGAACCACCTGAGACACGGTGTGTTTCGTATCTGAAATGGGCCGCCTGAGCATAGCCATGGCGGTACATGGATCGGCTCAGGTACACAACAAATCGCTGTCGAGGTTTCTACCATTTTCTACCTACGAATACATGGATCCACTGTGATCCAAAGGGACTTCCCGTGAGACCCGCCAGCTGGTTCGGTTTAGAGAGAAAAGCAAAGATGTCCCCACAAGCGCCAGAATTGGAAAATCCGATGGGAAATTTTGATAGAGAAATCAAAGAACTGAAAAAGCATGATTAAAAAGTGATTTCCAAAGAAGAAAACCGTGATTTCCTCAACCACTTGACGAAGAAGTGTCTGCAGATTCTGCAGCAGTTCTTTCAGTTTTAAAAAAAGTAATGCACTGTGGATCTGTTGACGAAAAAAACAGCCAGAAACCAATCAAATGCTCCATGTAAGGTTTTTTAAAACAGCCAGGGGGGAAAAATCTGTTTGCGCAAACCATGGCATCCATGGCAATGCCGTGCGAACACTAAACATACTAAACTCAATCTAAAAACCTTCGGGGTAAGCAGCAGCGCTCCTGGTGAAAAATCGCTACTCGGAACCTTGGGAACAACTCAGAGGATACCGATCTCTTGGACTGAGACTATACATGAAGACGGCAAACGGAAAACATATGTTTAAAACTATTTATAGTTTATCATTGAGATGTATCCAAGCACAGAAAGGGATGAAAAGAGTCCAAAGAATATGCTCATCTGCATTAGATGACATGGTCTTTTTCCGTGCTTGGAAACGGCGAATTTTGGATGCTGGCTACATCTTTGGATGACGTTTGTACAAGACCTGAAGCCATCCTCCGCCAGGCTCCTGCATCTCATTTTGGAGATTGCACGTCTGTGACGAAAGGTATTTAACCGATAACCAATTGATCAATTTGGTGGTTGGTAACTCGAAAGCTACAACATGAAAGTCTAAAAAGATAGGCTTGCTGGGGTCTGAGGGGGAGGGGGTCAAAAAAAAGACACTTTTTTTTTGTGATCCCCCCCCTGTCAGGAGGAGAGAAAGGGGAAAAAAACCATCTCTACAGAAAGCTTAGTAGCGATATATTTTATCAATCCAAGTTTTGACCCATATCTTTCCATTCCTCTTTATGCAGCGAATATGGCTGAAGGTTAAGATGTATTAGACAGTGTAACAATCATTGACTTGATACTCTAAGTTTGTATATTAGCATATATTAACACAAACAAAACATAATTTGAAACATACTGTAACCTTTTTTGATTGATCTTAGTGACCTAAGCCAACGAGTTAAAAGTATCACAAAGACTATTGAAACAATGAGCATGTGATGTCATGGTGACCAACGACACTTTTTAGTGGTGTTTTCAAAATATCGTAAAAATCAGCCCTCCACATCCTCCACAACGTCCCTTTTTAAAGAATAAATGTCTATAAATGTCATATTTACAAGTACAAATAAACATGATTTGAAAATATTAAATATGTATATTATATATATATATATATCTATCTATCATTATCTATCTATCTACATTGTCAATACCACATTATCCTCGGCAGAAGATTCGACGAGATGACTCTGGAACTCGGCCAGGACAGCCAGGACAAGCTGGGGAGCTGAACTCGGGATGCGGTGGTGGCCAAAGGGTCGTCGGTCGAAATTGCGCTTCCGACGTCCTCATGGTGGGCTCAGCTTGCAAACCTACAAAAATGCTGAAGAAAAAACGCGCAAAAAAACTAGCATTGTTGGACATGTCTTGGAAATCATGCTTCAAGTGTGAGAAAAACAGAGAAAGAACTTTTAAATATGCATAAATTGCATGGGTAAAGCTAAACTTAATCGTGACACAGCTGCAGTCCTCTCCGCCATCTGTCAACAAGTTTTTGACCCTGGTGAAAGTCATGGGGTCCTGGTGTTGCGACATCCAAATTGAACTTTGGGATCTGACTTCTGCTCATGACATTCTCCTTTGTCAGCCTTGCTGGTCATGTCTTGATCCTTCTGATGTGGTACGTGGTAGGAAGATCCTTGAAAGATTGAAAAGTGGGCCACATTGTCTTGTCCAGGAAGTCCAATTTTTCTAGGCTTCTACGTCTTTGCAATTCAACTTCCATCTAGCGAGTGACTAGACCCTTGTTTCTGCAAGTTGGTGGTGATGTTTCATCTTATGCTTCTTCTTCTTCTTCTTCTCCTTCTCCTTCGTCTTCTTCTTCTTCTTATTCTTCTTCTTCGCATTCATCCCAGTGAACGTGCCAAGGTTACTGGGTTTTGACTCGTCCCCCCAAAATTCCTCGTTCGAACGCCTCCTTCGGTCGCCACACCCACACCTGTGTCAGTATTTGCGAAGGCACAAGGGAACTGTACGGCATGATGTGGCGTTTGTCAACTCATCGTGTTTAATGAATACCACCGAATTCCTTTGCTTTTGGGGTAGTATTTTTGAGCCTGCTGAGGGACCTCTTTTGCATTGGGTATGTAGTACCCCAATCATGTGAATTAGTTCCCCGAAGAACTGAATGCATAGAATTTAGACGAGAATTAGAAACCTGCACCCTTTCTTTGAGGAATGCCACAGAATTCCATTGGTTTTCATGGGAACTAGCCACACAGACATTGCGCTACATCAGTCGTCGGGCCTGCAGGTGACCTTCTCAAACCTATACCGGCGTCCTGAAAGACAATATTCTATGTGTACCTTTGCAATGTTCATAATGTTCTATGTCCGTTGTTTCTATTTTGGAAGATGTCCCAAGACGACTCAAATATTCATGCCACAACATGCCACCATGTTTCTTTCGGTCATATCCCCCCCAATCCAGGGGATTTCCATCGCCTACAGGGCCTACAAGACCACGACGTGGCGATATGTAGCCGATAAAAAAAGCACCGTCACCTGGGGAAAGAAACCAGCTGGCTGAACTGAAATGCTGAAACATGCTGAAACCAGACGCGAATAGACTGCCAAACCGACCAAAGGTTTGCAAAGAATTTGAACATGTCAAGAATGCCTCAAGGTAATCAAGGCCAGGTGGCACAACTTTTTGGGTCCTTGTTACGGTCTTAAATCTCCGTGGAATCCCAGGCACAGGAGTGCTGAGGTCGCCTTGGTACTTGGCGTGAAGCCTCATCCCAACGAACAAATGTCCGACCATGGCGCGCGATTGGACGAAACCGGGGAAGGAAGGCGCCGCCTTGTCTTGTTCTGGCCAAATGGCGGCAAAGCGATTTGATGCACCATGATGCGCCGATACACTCAGGTTGTGGATGGTTGTTGACTTCCGCAAGCGGCTCAAAGGGACAAGGGAAATCACGATTTATTGCCAATACGGTACGTACTATACCTGGTATATTCCTGGTATTGTATGTTTTACATGCAACCAGTACAACACAACATAACACAACTTTATACATACTTAGTCACCATTTTTCCTTCTCAAACCATTGCTGTCCTTGAGGAAGAACTAGCCACGCGAGGTGCATTCTTTTCCTGCTCGGCCCACACGTGAAACGCTTGGGCTGGAGGGAAGCGCTTCCCCCTCTAGCAGACTTGTCCTGCCTTTGCCCGAGGGTCTCAAGCAAAAAACCACACCAAGCTCTGTAGTTTCTTTGTGTAGTGAAAGAGAAACCATGTGAAAACGATTGAAAACACGCTACACGGATATTGCTTGTTGACCATCTCTTAAAGATGCCTCATCCTAATGACTAGTTTGCCTGAAGGCCTTGGGCCTTGGCTAGCCATCAAAAAATTGAAGATTGATATTTTAAGATATTTTAGTTCAGAGTTCATGTCTTGTTTGGAAAGTGAAAAAACAAAGTTGGTCAAACCATTTCATGTCACCATCAAACACATCAAACACTCTGAAAAACCAATGAACTGGACCAAACCATTTCAATGATTTTCAATGAACAAAGTGACCAAAACGACCAAAGTGACCAAGTCGCCTGCATTCTTTGGCAGGTCGGCAGGTCGGCAGGTCGGCAGGTCGGCAGGTCAAGGTCTCAGACTGATTGTCCAACCATTGGACGAAGCACTTGTGGAGAGGGAGCCCGTGCGCCAGCTTATGACCGCGAAGTTTCCATACCTGCGGAGCTTGACCAGCTACAAATCATCGACTAAAATCGACTAAACAAGGAATATCCCCAGAAACAAACAGTTGACTTCCAGTCTTTGCAGCTGCAAAGGCCAACATGCTTTGCAAGAACCATCAATCCCATTGAAAGAATGCTGCGTTGCATGTCTTAGCTGCCGCTGCCAAGAAAGTCACACTAATCATTTCTCTCTTTCTGTCTCTCCCTGCTGAAACTTATACAGCCACGCTGCGGCAGCGTGTGGAAAACAGAGTTCTGTGGCAGTTCGTCGCCAGCACAAAACTCATCAAACACGTCCTGGGCAATGAAGGCCGAGAAGAAAGGAAAGTATAAGAAAGGCTGCTCGCCATCCCTTGTGTCTGTTCAACCCCCGGATGTGAAAGCCAAACCAAAGAAGTCAGAAGACACCCAAAGAGAGTTGGGAGATGTTGCAGGCACCGTGACAATTGCGAAGGACTTGGGTGTGCATTGAATTCGTTTTGCATCTAGGCTCTCGCATTGACCTCTCAACTTGAAGCAAGACTATCAAATGCAAAGGGATCATTCGCACTCCTATCTCAAATTCCTCATTCCTCATCCCTTCGCGGCCTCTGGGCCTCGTCAATTTGAACCAAGGAACTCCAACAGAAATTGCCAAGCGCGCCTCTTCACATGGCTCTTCCTCTCCAGTGTTACCAGCAAGATCCAGTGCCTGTCCAACGAGTCCAACGAGTCCAACGAGGTCTCAGTACCAATATTGGATATTTTAACACAGCTATTGAAAATGGCCAAATAGTTGGTGAAATAGTTGGTTAATGTTGGTTTATCTGTGAACATATCGAGATATAAATATCATCAAATATCCAATCTCTAGAGAGTTCTCATGTCATGTGCTGCCTCCAAGGTAAGATTCACAGGGCCAAAGGCTGCCACATGCGCTCGCCGTTGGCTGCTGTAGCCTTGCACACGAAGCTCGCGGGCCAGATCCTCAACTTCCGAGCGAAATAATGATGGTAGCTACGAGCTACTTGGGGATTAAGCAACTGTTCAACGGAGATATATTGAGGATACATACATACATGTATGTATGTATGTATGTATGTATGTATGTATGTATGTGGAGATTGTCATGCGAATATTGGACTTTTCGCCCACATCGAAAGGAAGCTAACTGCAAGAGCTACTGTGCAAAAGCGCAAGGCTGACCCCTTATTCCCAACCGTCTGTGACTGCCCCTGGCATATAGATCCGGCAAACCTTTCCCCCATCAGCAGAACTATGAACTATGAATCAAATTCCAAATGCAACCGGACATCATTTGAGTGTTGTTACCTGCGGCTTTCATGATGCAAAGTTGCAGGGAAGGGTCCTTGAAATTAGGAGAAAAGGTGTGGGATGTGATATATCCAAGACATTCCAAGACCTATTGAGGCCCTAACTCAATGCTTAGTGTGACCTTCGTGCCATGTGCCATTGAAGAAAGGATGGGGAATGCATCCCGGCGTCATTGCTATAGATCTGCACAACGCCACCTACCTGCCGGACAGCTCGGGAGATGACACAAGCCTCACATCGAAACCATATTAATGTCAACCCCGGATTAATAAACCATGGTTTATTAATTAGGGAGGTACTCCTCCAATAGTCATAATCTGATACTTAAATGGTACCCTCCCAATTAAACAGCCGTTTGGGGTTTATTAATCCAGGGTTGACATTATGGATATTAGTTGACCTCCACAACTCTGCTGAAAGTATGACGTCATATATTTACTGCTTGGTGGTTGAGCCCTACCCCTCTGAAAAATGATGGAGTGAGCAACAGTTGGGATGATGACATTCCATTCCCAATATGATGGAAAAATCATGCAGTCATGTTCCAAACCACCAACCAGATCACCATCATATTCCCATTGTTGTTGGTTTATACCCTATTAACCACTATTAATATCACTATTTTCCAACCAGATGACAATATATTTACCACAAGAACACATCTGCTGAAAGGAATCGCTCCGATCGACCTCACCGACCTCGCCTCATCCAGCACTCCAAAGGCGGCAGCTGGGACCAGTTGGACATCCGCTTGGCTCAGAAGTCCTGACAGCCTGGAAAGCTCCTGGCAGGACGAGACATTGCACCAAAATCTTACCAAGAACCGCAAAACAATGCTGACACACGCAAAAGAACATGAAACAATACAAGAGAAGGATAAAACATTTGATGTAACTATCAAAGAAACAATACATTAACATTTATATGTTGTAACGATCAAAGAAATCCTCAAGTTCCGCAGAACCCAAGAGCAAATACGCTAAACATCAAATCTCAACAACAACACCGGCTCCGTCTGAGGAATTGCAGAACTGTCCGCCGCTTGTAGAAAAAGCACATCACTGACAGGTCCTGTCAAGCCGACCGATCTGGCCCTTGAAGAACTTTTATACACCTGATGATAGGTAAAAGAATTCAGAGTTAGAGTTTGCACGTTTTGCTTGTGGCTCCTTCCCCAAAGGCATTCACTGCTGCAACCTGTCATTTTTCGCTGCCGGAAACGCACGGATATCTCAAATGTTGCAATCTTGCATCAGCTAGCGATGTTTTCTACATGCCTTGCCTGGTAGCCATAGGCTCTGCCAGCGTCCAAGTCGGTGTCGTTAAAAAATGGCGTCTGGGTCGTTCCAATCAGCCGGAACAGAGCTTGTCGCAAACCTTGATCTCGGTAGACGTTGTAATATGCCTGGCAGGTGGTCTGAAGGAAAAGAGCACGGACTCTGGGAAAAGTAAACTGCCAGTATTGTGCTGATGGATTCTGAAGAGCTTTTGCAATTAACAATAGTAAATAACTGCCAGTATTGTAAAACTGCCAGTAAGCACTTCAACTTTCTTTTCTGAAGATTCTTGACAGAGCCTTCCCGCATTGAACCCTGCGACCCCACCCTTTGCACCGTGTCAGCGCCCACGGAGTTTGCAGGTGCGTTCCACGCCAAAGCTAGCGCAGCTCGATCTTCGGTGAGCTGGTACGATGCCACCTGTTGAGCGAAGACAGGCCCGGGCATCTGATTAGGAAAGTTTCCCCAGAAACATTGTCTTTAGAAAAGCACCTCATAATCCTACAATATCCTACATATCTTATCATGTTTTGCAAAAGCTTCAACCATTCCTGTGAGAAGTTCTGTGAATGCACGGTGGGAATCTGTCCCCCAAAATTTTCCAACAGCTTCGACTGAGCATCTTACAGCAGCGCCTCTCTAAGATTGGAGATGCTGCCTGGTCTGAGGAAGCAGCCGGTCGTCAACGGCGTGCTCAACGTTGACCTCAAGCGGCAACATGTTCAAACTTTCTTCGAGCCTAGGCCGGCCTAGGCACTTGCCAAGCACTTCCATGGCACTTGGCTTTATATATATATATATTTATTAATAGATATATATATATATACATATCTATTAATAGATATATATATAATATAGATATATACATATATATATATATATGTATAAATTTGTGTCAAGTTGCCAACCAGCAAAATTTCGACCTGCAAGGGTCACCTGGTAGTTGAGGCCTGCGGTCAGATATCTCGCCGGGAGTGCAATCAACTGAACGTGTGACCCCGGGCCATATCTCCTCTGCAGCTTGCACACAAACCATCAAGAACAATAATGATAATAATAATTAAATTAATGATAATAATAATGATAATAATGATAATAATAATGATAATAATAATAACAATAATAATAGTAATGTCTTTGCTCTCATCACGGCCCCTGCTTTAAGAATTGCTCTTCCAACTGTTGTCAGCGTTGTGATCGACGTTGTGATCATCGTTGTGGTGGTAATGATGGCGATAATCGTGATGGTGGTGATGGCAGGCTCGTGGTGGTTGCTCACGAGGTTGTGGTTGTTGCTTCTGCTGTTGCTGTTGCTGTTGCTATTGTATATTGTTTTTTCTCCTTCTTCTCCTTCTTCTCCTTCTTCTCCTTCTTCTCCTTCTTCTCCTTCTTCTCCTTCTTCTCCTTCTTCTCCTTCTTCTCCTTCTTCTCCTTCTTCTCCTTCTTCTCCTTCTTCTCCTCCTTCTAGTTTTTGGTAGCTGGCTCTGCTGATATTTATCTGGTCGTTGACTGTTTGTTGCTGACAAGTTGTCTGCTTCTTGGCTTCGACAGTTGCCATTGCTGCTACTGATGCAGTTGTAATTGCTGTGTTGTTTACCCTTCATTTTCATTTCGCAGGATTTGAAGCGTCCATTTTCCCAAGGATTTCTGTTAGTGCCTGCTTCATCCATTGGCAAAGTAGCTGCTTTGCCAAACAAAAAGTTTCATCAGCTCAGTGGCGACGCCTGGAGTGCAGGCCACGTCCACTACTCGAACCCATTGCGGTGGAGATCCGGCACGTGTTTGTTCCAAAGAACCACGGAGAGAGAAATCGTCGTAAACCTGGCGCTGTGTTTTTGAGGTCGATGAGTGAGATCTCAGAGGTGCGCTCTCTGTACCCTCCTTGCCATCCTTGCCGTCCTCTGTCCTCGCCTGCGTGCCGTTCAAGAAGATACGATAGCGATCAACAGATCCACCGACGTCGGTTTCCTTCTGTAGCCAGGTTACTCCTAAGTTTGGCAAAACTCAACGCATTGCAGGGCGACCAACCGGCACCAGTGTTGACAAAGGTGCAAACAACAGATAAGAAACACATGAAAAAAAACATTGTCAAAACAAGCAAGGGCTTTCAAGCTTGAATGTCGTCTTTGGTGACACAAGAAAAAGTCTTTGGAGTGTTCCCCTCAACTGTCTCAAGGCTTCTCTCTTTCCGCTAAAATGAACAAACGCATCAAATTCTTATGAATTGAACTATATCTATATCATCAACCACTTCTTGCCCAAGGCAGGGCTTGTGCAAGTGCATGTGAACGCGGGTGTGTCTGTGTCTATGGCTGTGCAACCAGTCAATCTTTGGAAGACATCTGAAAACGGTAAATCCCAGCCCTGAAAGTGCAATCTTTCAACCTCTGATCATGGTGATCATGGCTGCAGAGTGTCGAATATGACCCAAAGTCCCAAAAGTCTTGAAGGTGTAGCCAGAACTTAGAGTGCCGTCCAAACCTCCAGAACTGCTATACCTTGGGCCGAGACATGTGATGACTTGTGATGGATACCGCAACTCGCTGATTTTGACACCTTGAATCCTGGCGCTTTTTCTGGAGACTTGGACCAGGAACATTAGAAAGACATACTCGGTATCCATGGACAGCGCACAGTTGGTCAAGGTCCACTGCTGCAAAACATTGGCCAAAGTTGTGATCGGAGTTGAACTTTGACAGCAGTTTGGCCCACCTGGCACTCCAAGGTGCTCGAAGAATCCATTGTGACATGTCGTAACTCTTCGGACGAAGGAGAATGTTTATCTTGGTACAGTATATTTCGAAGCTTTTGCAATATGTTAAAGAATCTTGCAAGATTCAAACAATTGAGCTAAGTCTTTCTAAGACTGCGTCTTTCCGCAGGCACATTGGTCTATGGCGTCGAACATGCGTTGAGAGTTTCCGTGTCGATCCTTCCACACATGCCGTGTTCCTTTCATGACGGGACCATTATCATCCATCATCCACTATATCATCCTGTTACTAATTGTCCATGATTATAGACTGTTATCCAAAAAAAACATGATTATCCATAACTATTCTTTATTGTTCATTGTTCTTCATGATTCCATCCATTTTGATTCACCAATTTTGCGTGTCCCGCCTAGGCTGACATTTCCACTCATCACTGAAGCGCCAGGAACGCTTTCCACCATCTCTGGCAGGACGATGGCGCACCAAGCAAAGCCTGCAGTAGGGATGGATTCTTGACATAGAAAACTCGATCATAGCTGGGATTTCATGGATCTATATATAATGAATCTATGGCTGATTGATGTGAAAAATTGATGTGAATATGTCATTCCTTTCATGGATTTCATAGGTTTGGACCCCCATGTGCTTTGCAACTTGAAATGGGAAGAAATGCAGAGCGGGCCCAAGAGCACCCGAGATGAGACACTGTGAACTTGTTGTGCTGTCCTCATGACGCTGCCCCTTGCGGGTTGATGAATGTAGTTCACGAACCGAAAGTCCATCTCACAATTATATCATAATGTTGCAATCAACTCACCAACTTGCCACCTTTCATAGCTGCAGCTACACCAAAGAACACACCACTACTTAGTCAGGTGTGATATGCTGCCACCAGGAGCCTGCATTGGCAGTCCGATATTCCATGGTGAAGTTGTCTGCATAAGCAGTGCCCAGCAGTCTAGGCGAGATGAGGAAGTAGTTGCCTTGGTTATGTCTATTGGCACCCATGTTCTACCCGCAATAAATTAATTTCTCATAATTTCTCCAAATCCACAATGCTGATGCAATGATTGTCTTAACCAGAAACCCTGAAACGATCTAAAACAGTTTTCATTCTGAGCCTATCCAACCACTGTGCGTCATATCAGTCATATCCAACCATTAAGCAGTGTCGTAGCTGTCCAGGCACTGGCATCTGCAAGTTTCAGCACACGGATGCTGGCGAGCGCTCCATCATTGTTATCGCCAGAGTCCTCCACGTAGATGCCGATCCTTCGCGAAACCAAAACTGGGCAAAGCAACACATACATGGACAAACATTGCAAATCTCATGCTCGGCAGTGGCAAAAGCTTATCTTCGATATCCCATCTTGCTCAATCTATTCTAGCATAGTACAGCTATACGAGTACCAGGCTGTATCTAGCCCAGCTGCAGATAATCCGTTCGCGGGTCAAAGGTGCAATTGCTGAAGTTCAGCCATGTTGCTGCCTTCAAAGGCGGTCGCACACCGATGCTATGGGAGTTCTATAGATTTTCGAAATGACAATGCGGTGTTTCGAGGCTCGACAAAAGCTTCTGAGTGAAATTCAAATCCAAGCTTGTCGTTGTTTTACACACTGGTGGTTTCCTGAAATGGGACCTCCAAATCATCCACTTTAGTAGGATTGTCCCGTTTTTTTAGTCCATCCAATTTGGAATATCCCCATTTCAGGAACCCCCCGAATGATGATCTCATGATGATCTCGTCTACCTGGGCGCCGAATGGATTGAGCTCCACCGTGAAATCTACAGCGTCAAAGCTGCAGTTGGCACTGTCATAGGACCTGATGGCAAAACTTTACCATCCCTTACCATCTCTTGATGATCCAACATGTTTCCAAACCTCTACCTCGAACCAGGTTCCGGAAAAAGGCTCAAAAACCATGGCAGTCTGAAGAGTCTACCCTCTGGTTATGACTAACATAGCCATGGTATAGATGGCCCATTTATAGATGGTTTACCTATTAAAAATGGGGATTTTCCATGGCTATGTTAGTCATAACCAGATGGTACATCCACCAAGCTTCGGTCCATTGTTTGGATATGTCTGCCACGTCTTTAAGACATTCAGGTTCAAATCTCCAGCCCAGCGTTCCACCGTTGGGTAAAGAGACGCCAAGACCTGAGGGATCTGCCGACAAACCCTCTGGTAATTTAACGGTTTCCTATTGAAAATTGCCATTTATAGTGGATTTACCCACTAAAAATGGTGATTTTGTCCATAGCTATGTTAGTTTACCAGTTTACCAGAGTGTATATCCGTCTTGCGCTATGTTCATTTATTTGTTCGGCATGCGACAAATGCTGTCACTTCTTTAGAAGCCTGGCTTCTCTTGGCACCTGAAGTAACTCCAGTTATTAGTGAGTCGACTAAGTGGAAAGACATCCACACTTTGGACAAAGAAAGAGGTGGGAAAGAAGCCAAAGTTGTCAGGACTCAAATGATCCCATAGCTATCCATATCTGCCGGTAAGGTGTCCGACAGCCAAGCTGCTATTCTGGCCCAAATGCGACCGGAATTTCTTGGGAAAACCTCCACAAAGAGAGATCCATTGGTGTCGAACGCAGCAATACGTGGGAACGGCCAGAGAAAGGTGTTGCTGATGTCAAGCACCTGACAAATCAGGGCACCGGGAATGACACTTTAACATGAAAATCCATTGGAAGATTGGGTGACATGGAATGGAAGCTATCTTTTTGCAGCTGGGTCCATATAGATAGCTGATTTTCCTCGATCATTTGATTGGGATTATCATGAAAAAGTCAGGTACCAATTGGGTACTTTGACGAAGCCCGGCATGCAGCATAGAGCTAGGACTCCAGGCAGCAACAGGTGGTGAGAGGTCACCAATACCTCCAGAATCATCTTCCACCTTAGTAACTAGGGCAAGAAATGCCACAGACTTTTCTGTGAAATTCATATACAGTATATATATATATATCTATACACACCGATTAACTGCATACAAACCAGGGGAATAATGTCTTCACGACTCCTGCGTCCTCACCACGTGCTCAAATTTGAAGCAAGGGAAAAACATGAGAACCCATCTGTCACAATGATGTTCAGAGTGAGAGTTTATTATATTGTGTCTCTCATCCCGTCCAAAGTTTGCATCGCGGGGTGGTAGAGAAAAACAAATGCAACAAAGACACACGCAAAAGAACAACTGAAAATGCTGAGGGAACAAAAAAGGAAACACTTTGGAATTTTGTTCCAGGGTCTACCATAATCTGCCTGCAACTGGTTTCTCAAAGTCACGTAAACAAAGGCAGAGTAGAAGGTGATGCCTGCACCCGAGAGAACCAGGTCGCAATTCGTCAATTCCACAATGGTCTCTCCAGTTCCCATGCTGACCTCGAGGTGCTTTCGAACATGATTCACGTCTAGTTACATGACTTGAAATTACAAACACCACTGAAACTTTTACATGTGTGTGTGAATACGTACATAAACATGCATATTTTTTTTGTTTTTTCTCTGTATGTGTGTGTGATTATATATGCACCTGTATCTGTATATCTGTATGTCTGTAAGTTCATATGCATCTCTATATACTATATACATATGATACATATGTATGCATGACAAAATTACGTGTGTGTGTGTAACATATGAATATAAATATATGATAGTATATGTGTGCATAGACGTGTTCATGGAACAAACAAATGCGTCTGATGAATCCACAAAGGAAGTAGCCTGTGTTACTTCATAGCCCTAGTTGGGCTGTCCGCTTGCCCCCAATCAGGAGGTTGCAACGATGTTTAGGTCAGGATCTGGTTGCTTTCCGTGTCAAATATGTTGGTCTCTGAACGATTTCATTATCTTATCTGATCCATACCCCTTTATTTTGGCATCCTGTGGCCAGGTGCCAAGTGGTAGGCCCCACGAAAAACGGTTCCCAGGCGGTTCGGCCAGGAGGCATCATTCTTGCGACAGCCTGTCTGTCCAACAGTGTCAGGGTTCAAGTCCATAAATTTCGCTGTCTCGACGGTAAACACGTTGATCCTGCAGAAATGGCTTGACATGTTCACTCAAACCCAGCAAATGGATAAACGCAGAGCAACGCAGCAAAAAAAACAATCCACGATGCTGCAATCGTTATTATGGCACTGCCATCATCCAGCGCATATGGGAGTCTGCGGTCTACATGCTTCCCTGTGGGGTTCTTTGAATCACCAACATTCTATAGTTGGATATTGGGCCGTCTTGGGGCTCAAAAGGTGTGAATGTCCACTTGTTCTTGGGCATCATGTCTCGGGCTACGTAAAAATTATTCATATACAAATTGCAGGGCAAATGATCTTGCTTGCATGAGGCAGCTTGTTCAAACTTGCCCCTGGAGCAAACACACAACTGCATTGGGTAAATGCATGAACACACCAACATGTCCTTGATGCGTCCATTGAGGGTTTTTGACATGTTTTATCAGACAATTTGACGGATACCCACATCATGTTGTTACAAATGTGCAAAACCAGTGTTTCCGTTCCCCTTGACATTTGGCCCTTGGTGCTGCACCAATCTCTGCTCCTTTCTCTGTCCCCTTCCTGCCCACCCGAAGACCGCAGCCGGGTGTCTTGTCATTCGGCAATATGAATGCCCAATACCTGGAAAAGACTCGCAACGTGGCCCAAATTGCGACAGCAGACCCATAGCAAGTCACAAAGAGAACGTTGAAAAATGTTGAAAACTCTGAAAGGCTCTTGTTGATGTCCTTTTTATATATTTTTCCAAAGGATATCCCCAAAGAAAAAACATGGTGAACATGTTCCAATATGTTCCAATTCAGGTCACCTCCCAGGATTCGTCGCCACAAATTTCAGCTGTACGTCGCTGCTGGTGGGGTTTGCAGCCATCATAGGCCCTGCGCCCAAGAGATTCGATACAGCCTTCTGAGGACTCACATGGACCGGAAGCCGACCCAACGCTCCGTCATCGAGACCTCACAGCACATCAAACTCAATGGGTCTGTTACTAGATTCACATGGCGATGGGCACCTACGGAGTGTAAGACCTCTCAAAATTTCAAGGGTTTTTGTGTTTTCGACTTGCATTGTGTTGTAAGATGTTGCAAGTATGTGTTGTAAAATGTTCCTATCTGACAATGTTCCTATCTGTCTATCTGTCTATCTATCTATCCATCCATCTATCCATCTATCTATCTTTGTGTGTGTTAGAACTGTTGTAAACTGTACAATTGTCGCCTTCATACTACTTTTTTTGGACACCCAAAAAATCGTGGCAAGTCCGACAAGTCCCCAAAAAAACGCCAAGGTGCCACTGGTGTCTTCCACGTAAACTGCCACGACGTACATGCCGTCGGACAACAAGTTGCAGCCATCGCCTGCATTGGGTGAGGACTCTGCGAGGACCACCTCCTGCGGCCGTTGCACCATTGGAACTCCAATGGACGGAGTATTAACCAATTAACCAATTAATGGTCCAATTAACCCTGTTTCATGGTCCAATTAACCATGTTGTTCATGTTTCTCCATAATTGGTTTAATAGCATATAGTATTATGTTTAATTGAAATTATTGGAATAATGATTTAACATCACTACCCCTTTAAGGGGGGCGGACGTACGCAAATGTTATGAACAATTTCGACGTTTTTTGAGGGGGAGTACGTATCAAAATGTAAGCAAACATTTTTTTCGTTCAACATCTTACTTGAAAAAAATCAGGCTAGTAGGACTCTCGCGTTTTACGGAATTGCAAATATTTTCCAGGGGGGCGTCCAATATTGTAATTTGCATTTTGCGGAAAAAAATGTAAGAAAAAGAAAAAAATGCAAGAAAAATAGTGTGGAGGACTGCAAATATCTGCAGAATTGCAGAAAATCATAATTGCAATCTGGCTTCCTAGAGGTCCCCCGAGACGGAACGCCCAAAAAACATCAAACAACATCAAAAAACATCAAAAAACATCAAAAAACCACTTCATGCAGTTTTGTCAGATGCCAAACATGGAAAACAACAGGGAGCGCCTACAGAATCCTTTAGAATGAAGCGAGTGAGGTGAGACATGCTGTGAAAGAGGCCTCTGACTCTCTGAAATCAGAAAGGCTAAAATCATCTGATTCTCTGCTCGGTCTTTCGCCGGCGACTGCGCAAAGAAGTCGTGGCTGCTCTCGGACGAGAGGAGCAAGAGGAACTTGAACGGTGTTTCGTGGGTGAATGTGAAGACGAGTTGCTGGCCTTGTCCCCGGCAGCAGCTCTAGACCCCATGGTTTCCCCCCGCCAAACTGCTGCAGCGGTGATTCAGTTCTTGGGTCCTCGGAGAATGAAAACGCATGGATCAAATTTGATCAAATGGGCTGGTTTCCAAGCCTAATCCTGTCAGTCCTCCAACTAGGGCTTTGTACCATAGGTACGGAGCATGGATGAAGCCATATGCCCCTTTGTTCAGCAGGCCCACCTCGTTTGGGGCCATCTGCATTGCCTTTCGGATTTCAGGCACTGGTTCCACGGCCATGATTTGATCAGCTTGGGGCTGACCCTGCAAGAAGGCTGCTTTGATGTCGAAGGATTTCAGTGTCCACCCATGACTGGCGATGCTTTGAAGGATTAACATCCGGGAGCTCTTATTAAGGGTAGGACTATCTCTGGGGATATCTTCTATTTTAGGGTCAAGGTATCCTAAGACTACCAGCCTGGCTTTGGCCTTATAGTTAGGACCTTGCCGATTTCCATCAGCCGCTCCCACAGAGTCGATGGGTTTCCATGTGAGTATCCATCTACACCTTAGTATTTGGGATTCAGGGATTTGATTTCGGAGGACCTTGGTCAGCGTTTTGGTTTGGATCCAGTTCGCCACTTCCGCTGCTTTGGCCTGCTCGAATTGCTGTCTCTCCTGCTTGGACAGTTCATGTAATCTTACTTCGGTCCTTTGCTTCTTGGCACTAGTCGCCAACAAGATACATGATTCTTCGGGTGATAGCACACCCACTTGGGTGTTTTCTGGGATGTTCACATCGAATTCGCATTTCCAAGCAAGATTCTGAGAGTCACTAACCGCAAGTGCATCGGCTTCTTCCTCACACAGAAGTTGGAAGTCGGAATTCTAGGGGTCATGCATTGTTGGAGATTCTTTTATTGCATTGGATACCTGGCGGCTCTCGATCTCTGGCTCTTGATCGGGTTGACCAACTGGACTGGTCACACTGTGCTCACTCAATTGACTGGTATTTTCAATACATTCTACACTTTTTCATCATTTACACATGCAATATAGATTTATAGAAGGTACATTATTCCTTGCAAATTACTGGAAATTCCTTCAACTTCAATAAATGTAAAATTAGATGTTGGAGGTCTTCAAATTTGCCTCCTACCCATGGAAAAAACAATAGAATACAAATAAAGATCTCAAAAAGACCTCAAATGGACCTCAAAAGGACCTCAAATGAACCTTCATGGGGTCCCCATGGTAAATCCCCTCAAATCCCCTTCGTTTTTGAGCACTTTCTGCAAGGAATTAAGGACCTCAGGTGTAGGATGGTTACATTTGTCTATCTTATCTTTACCACCGTTTTTGAGCACTTTCTGCAAGTAAATAAGGACCTTAGGTGTAGGATGGTTACATGGGTTCATCTTGATTTTATCATCTACTTTGAGCTGTGTCTGCAAGTGAATAAGGACCTTACTGTAGGTCTTAGGTGTAGGATGGTTACATGGGTTCATCTTGATTTTATCATCTACTTTGAGCTGTGTCTGCAAGTGAATAAGGACCTTACTGTAGGTCTTAGGTGTAGGATGGTTACATGGGTTCATCTTGATTTTATCATCTACTTTGAGCTGTTTCTGCAAGTGAATAAGGACCTTACTGTAGGTCTTAGGTGTAGGATGGTTACATGGGTTCATCTTGATTTTATCATCTACTTTGAGCTGTGTCTGCAAGTGAATAAGGACCTTAGATGTAGGATGGTTACATGGGTTCATCTTGATTTTATCATCTACTTTGAGCTGTTTCTGCAAGTGAATAAGGACCTTAGATGTAGGATGGTTACATGGGTTTATCTTGATTTTACAGTTGTTACCTCCCCCCCCACCCCCCTGTCTGTAAAGTCCGGAGGGGGGGTCGGAGGGGGGTACGGGGTGACCCGTCTCTTACGTACTTTTATTTTTCACCCCCCACCCCCTCCATAAATGTAAAAATTTTAGGTCTCGGTTTCTGACGTAGGGGTGGTCTAAGTAACAGTTAGCATGACCCCTACGGAAAATATTCCGTAGGGGTCAAAACTGTTACTTACATATTTGCACGTCCCCCTGCTTTTTACAGTAGGGGTCTAAAGGGGTGGCGATGATTTAACCAACAATGGGAAATGGAAAGTGTTTGAAAAACATGGCGTGCTACAAATCCAAAGCAACGTGGGCAACGTGGTCAGCCAGGAAACCCGCCTGAGTTGCTGTGCCAATGGCAAGCGAGGCCCGCCGGCAATTGCTGTTGCCAACCTCTGAGCAGGTCGGAGGAATCAATTTGTTTGCTCCAAAACTGCCCACGCAATAGCTTATGAAAAATGTATAACGTGACCGTTCTGTCCGCGTACAGCGGACAAAACAACAACAACAACAACAACAACCACAACAACAACAACAACCACAACAACCACAACAACCACAACAACCACAACAACCACAACAACCACAACAACCACAACAACCACAACAACCACAACAACCACAACAACCAACCACCAACAAGCAACAAGCAACAAGCAACAAGCAACAAGCAACAAGCAACAACAACAACAACAACAACAACAACAACAACAACAACAACAACAACAACAACAACAACAACCAACAACAAACAACAAACAACAAACAACAAACAACAAACAACAAACAACAAACAACAAACAACAAACAACAAACAACAAACAACAAACACCAAACAACAAACACCAAACAACAAACAACAAACAACAAACACCAAACACCAAACACCAAGCACCAAACACCAAACACCAAACACCAAACACCAAACACCAAACACCAAACACCAAACACCAAACACCAAACACCAAACACCAAACACCAAACACCAACAACAACAACAACAACACCAACAGCAACAGCAACAACAACAAACAACAAACAACAAACAACAAACAACAAACAACAAACAAACAACAAACAACAAACAACAAACAACAAACACCAAACACCAAACACCAAACACCAAACACCAAACACCAAACACCAAACACCAACACCAACAGCAACAGAAACAGCAACAGCAACAAAGCAAGCGGGCGACATTCTGGGCAACACCAACAACCCTTTGGGCATCGCCGGTGTGCAAGCCCTACAATAAGCGTCATTGACCCATCAAACAGCCCATTTAAGCACTTATGTTTAACGTGGTTCAACCATTCGTTGAACCCCTATTTTGCTCCGGAGAATGCCCTCATCTTGCTACATATTATTATTACTTGTTTACGACCGATATACTGCCTATATGCTACCTATACATACTCGTATATATGCTACCTCTACACTACATACAAAATACATCATAAATAATACCATATACTGTAGCACCTATATACTACATATTTGGATGCACCAGCTATTATACACTCCCTATACAGCATATGCAGCCCTCCTCCCACCCCAATCCACAGCGCAAGGGGGTTTGGGGCGATACCATGACCATGGGTAGGGGAGGGCCAGGACCTGGAACAATATGTATATTATACATATAATTTAATCATACAATATTTGCTTTATCATATACTACATTATATGTACTATATTGTTATATTATGTTATATCAGAATCTGCACAGCGGCGTGGCAGATGCAGTGGCACCTTTTTGAGCTGGCAAAAGAGCGCTCTGCGGCGCGATCAGAATGACTGCTGTGCATGTGCAAAACTGGTGGTTACTTGCTTGTTTCACATTATATATATACATATATATATCATAAAATTATTTTACCTTACCAGTTCGCATCACTTCGCTCTTGCCATGTCGGCCAAGAGGCCGCGTTGGTGAAGCTCTTCACCCCTGCAATGGTCAGCTCATGTGCTTTCCAGGCTTCGATCATCATCACCTCGTACCCAGTTCAGTCTAGAACTGTACAAACGGAGCACCGTTGAAGCTGAATATACCCTCTGGTAAACCAACATAACTATGGAAAATCACCATTTTGAATGGGAAAATTCACTATAAATGGCAATTTTCAATAGTTATGTTGGTTCATCAGAGGGAAGCTGAATCATGCTGAATCCTTCTGAGACTGGCACCCAGGCCAAACCAAATTCCTGTGTGGCTGCAAAGGAAAATTGGACGCCCGAAATGCGTGGCGTGGCCAGCAGTCTTGGCTCCATCGCAAAGTTGTTGGATGCTGTAGGAACAAAGATCTCCACGGCTGGGCTCAAGGTACCGTTGAGGCCGCCCTCTGGACCAGTCACATAAGCAAAAGCGTAGTAATACCGCCCTTAGTTTGGCGCAGCTTCAACGAACATCCGCAGTTTGTGTCCAACAAGTGGCTACCAAGCCATCCTCTTTTATCTCTTTTCTATGTGAGCTGGACAAATACTCCATGACTCCATGTTTAAAAAGCATTAAAAAGCCGAGCTTTGATTTTGGCCGTCGTTTCCAAGCAACCACGCAGCAGGCCGCATTCTGAAAGTTGTACAGTCGTTACCTGGCAAAGGACATGTTCTGACAAACTGCACCTGGACTTGAAACACCTCACCAGAACCAATAATACGTGGCTCACCTAGATTGCTATCACAACACTTCGGAGCTATCTGAGGTTTTGTTTCAGCACTCATGATGAGTCATGTCAAGGACCAATACATCTCAAACCCTCTGGATATCTCTGGATTCGATTCTGGCAAGTTGCCTGATCGTCAATGGACACGCCTTGCTTCTGGCATCCCGGACCACCCACTGCATTCCAGCCATTGTACACAACCTCACTGCTGACCTGACACGAAATGCAGCTGCAGCAGCTGCACGAAATGCAGCTTTGGCTAAACTTTAGCCCTGCTCATGTTGAATCATGTTTTTTGTCAGATGTTCATCATGATTCGTCATGCTTTTACAGGTCTGTCTTGAACAGTGCAGGTAGTGCCTGCGGTCGGTATCGCGTCAGAAGCATGAAGAGCAATCCTTGCGTGTGTGCTGCGCGCAGCGTCAACGTGGCACCATTCGGAGAGGCCGGGCCAGTTTGGCGAGGATCTTCTCTGAACCTGGCAGGTGTTCTGCATTCTGAGCTTGTGATTGGACGCGATTCTGAAAGTGATTGATTGTATCTCAAACTTCTCTTCCGAGCGACTCACTTTAAATCAAGAATCCAAAGTAATATCCAAAGTGCCACAACATCGCTAATTATTCAAGCATGTTCGAGCAAATGCATCTGCACATTCACAAAATCAACACTCTCAAAATCAACGCTCTACAAGACTCATTCAACACTTTAAACCAAACATCAGTTTTCAAAGCGTGTCGGCACCAGTTTGAGACAATCGGGATGTCCTCCACAATGAGTACAGGGCTCAAATCACTTGAGCTTTGATCTGCAGAGATGTTTGATGCATCGAAGAAGGAGGCAATCATTGGACCTCACAGGATGCAGCGAAGCTAAGCACGGCTTGTCGGCTTGTCAATCCATCTGAAACCGATTTGATGCTTCGAGAGAGAGAATTCTATGGTACATTTTTTCACTTCCTTGTTCAGTTCATTTCAGTTCTGTCTTTTCACCGCGCCTGAGAGCATTCCATCGCCCTCCACAGACGGCCAAGCTTCGACATAGACGAACATCCTTGGCTGCGCGCATCTCTCACCTGGTGCCTTGTCTCGTTTTTGTCTTCTGGCATTGGCAGCTTCAACATGTTAAGCTGAGACCGGAAATCGCTCACCTAAAGAGCTGGAGGCAAAGGGGCACTTAGTGGCATTTGCGAGCGCAACTTCACTTGGAGAAACTGCACGATATGTTGCATATCCTATGTGCATTGCCAGCTTCTGTGAAACGCAACAAGTGATTGGTTGGATGTGAGGGCGAGGCGCGGCTTTTGCAGAGTTCCATAATGCAGAAGTCTGTCCAAACATCCAAAGGGTATGCATGTCAGCCCACGCTCTGAATTTAAAGTGACTTCGGTAGAGGCTGGATTTCTTTGATGCAATGAATTCTTTGACATACTTTCCCACAACAATGAATCAAAGGATGGGCTTCTTTTGTTCTTGTTGACCCATTCCTTTGTCCTTAATTTGTCGTGACTATTAGGGGGAATTGTCCAGAAACTTACATGGCTCTCAAGGGAACGGGAGCGACGCGAACGAAATCCACCGCAACAATACGATGGCATTGACGCCAAGCAAAGCGTCATGTAAGTCTTCATATCCTGGAAGTTGCAGTCCGTGAAATTCCAGATTTGCACACTGTCATCCTGGGAGAAACGGCAGAAGTTTTTTCATATCGATGGCAAAACTCGGCCAGATTTTTTTTGTCACATCGAAATGCTCAACTAATGATACCCTCTGGTTATGACTAACATAGCCATGGAAAATCACCATTTTTTATAGGTAAACCATCTATAAATGGGCCATTTTCCATGGCTATGTTAAATAACCAGAGGGTAACTAATTTAATACAGTTCTATACGTTGATGACTTTGAAGAGCGCATAAGAGTGCACTGCGTATTCCCGTCATGTGTGGACAAGCATCAATGGGAACATCTTGGAAGTAGCACTCCGGACCACCAAGTGCCCCTTGCAAGCTTCGTATTGACAAAGACGTCACACCTGCTGCATCAAGCTCTGTTCACATTCAAAAAGGATAAACCGTCTTGCGACATCTCATGCGCTGTTTCCTCAGAGAATTGGCTGTAGTATAGTGTAGTCAGATTCGTTTGATAGGCCATGAACATCTGCTGGTCCTCACTACAGTACTTGCCAAGAGGTTTGGGCTCGGTCTGGCTTGCCTTATCAGTCTCTGCTGCTTTATGCTTCCCTGCAGCCCAATTGTCCCTCCCGCGTGCTGTATAGCTGCATCTCTAAGACAAAATCTTACAATATATGTTTTTCCATGTTTTTCCCGAAGCATTTGCTGTTCAAGTTTCGAGGTTTCGCTAGTTTGGCCTGCTAGGTTTGTGTTCAAAATCGCTGCTCAAAAATGTATCCGGCGGAACGAGATCTCCGCCTGAGCCACCGATCGCATCCACCGCCATTGCCCAAGCACGCCCTGGAACAGTCGCCTGGCCGACTTGGACCCAAGTGGAACGATTGTTGGCAGCACTGGTCTCGCCAAGTACATCCAAGTATCAATGGATTGGTTTAGGGGAACATTTACAGGAAAACCCCATATTTAATGGTAAAAACAATGGTTTCCTGTAAATTTTCCCTTAAACCAATCCATTGAAAGTATCATATTCTGATATCATGACCAGGATACCACAGCCATCCAAAGCCAAGACACGGTTCTAACATTTTCTGACAACATCCAGAATGCTTTAACCAACACAGATCTGAAAACCCCAACCCTTCACGGAGGGACGGGGGTCACATTCGCCCCTAAAAGAGGGTCACATTCGCCCCTAAACAACAATAATTTTATGTTACTCAACCCTTTAGGGTTTTACCTGGGGACAAGGGGTCATTTAGGGGGACTCGGGTTTAGGGGGGGACATGGGGGCATATGTTGACTTGTCTCTCTATTCCATATGTTACTCAACCCTTTAGGGTTTAACCTGGGGACAAGGGGACATTTAGGGGGACTGGGGTTTAGGGGGGGACCTGGGGGCATATGTTGACTTGTCTCTCTATTCCATATGTTACTCAACCCTTTAGGGTTTAACCTGGGGACAAGGGGACATTTAGGGGGACTGGGGTTTAGGGGGGGACATGGGGGCCATATGTTGACTTGTCTCTCTATTCCATATGTTACTCAACCCTTTAGGGTTTAACCTGGGGACAAGGGGACATTTAGGGGGACTGGGGTTTAGGGGGGGACATGGGGGCATATGTTGACTTGTCTCTCTATTCCATATGTTACTCAACCCTTTAGGGTTTAACCTGGGCCAAGGACCTTTAGGGGGACTCGGGTTGTAGGGGGGACATGGGGGGCTGATGTGACTTGTCTCTCTATTCCAATTGTAACTCACCAAGGGGCATTTAGGGGACTGGTTTAGGGGGGGACATGTGGGTCATATGTTGACTTGTCTCTCTATTCCTATGTTACTCAACCTTTAGGGGGACTGGGGTTTAGGGTGGACATGTGGGCATATGTTACTTGTATCTCTATCCATATGTTACTCAACCCTTTAGGGTTTTACCTGGGGACAAGGGGTCATTTAGGGGGACTCGGGTTTAGGGGGGGACATGGGGGCATATGTTGACTTGTCTCTCTATTCCATATGTTACTCAACCCTTTAGGGTTTAACCTGGGGACAAAGGGAAATTTAGGGGGACTGGGGTTTAGGGGGGGACCTGGGGGCATATCTTGACTTGTCTCTCTATTCCATATGTTACTCAACCCTTTAGGGTTTAACCTGGGGACAAGGGGACATTTAGGGGGACTGGGGTTTAGGGGGGGACATGGGGCCATATGTTGACTTGTCTCTCTATTCCATATGTTACTCAACCCTTTAGGGTTTAACCTGGGGACAAGGGGACATTCAGGGGGACTGGGGTTTAGGGGGGGACATGGGGGCATATGTTGACTTGTCTCTCTATTCCATATGTTACTCAACCCTTTAGGGTTTAACCTGGGGACAAGGGGACATTTAGGGGGACTGGGGTTTAGGGGGGGGGACATGGGGCCTTTAGGGGGGACTTGGGGGCATATGGTAACTTTGCCTCTCTATTCAATACGTACTCAACCCTTTAGGGTTCACCCTGGGGACAAGGGACATTTAGGGGGACTGGGGGACCTTTTGAGGGGCATCCAAACCGTCTTCGAAGGTGCTCGAACTGGATAGTACAACGTAGCATCCATAGTGTCCTAGAAGTTGATTGAAATGTCTCTTGGAAGGTAACATCCAAAGCGTCTTCGAAGTTGCTCGAGATGGATGTTACAACGTAGCAATGGAACACCGTAGCATGCATAGTGTCCTGGAAGTTGATTCAAATGGCTGTTGGAACGTAGCATCCGAGGCTTCTTCCAAGTTGCTCGAACTGGATGTTACAACGTAGCATCCATAGTGTGCTGGAAGTTGATTCAAATGGCTGTTGGAACGTAGCATCCAAAGTGTCTTCCAAGTTGCTCGAACTGGATCTTACAACCTAGCATCCATAGTGTCCTAGAGGTTGATTGAAATGTCTCTTGGAAGGTAACATCCAAAGCGTCTTGGAAGTTGCTCGAAATGGATGTTACAACGTAGCAATGGAACACCGTAGCATGCATAGTGTCCTGGAAGTTGATTGAAATGGCTGTTGGAACGTAGGAAAACACGTGAATATCACTCTCTAGGGTGGAAAAAATCCTTTTGAGGCTCTGAAACTATTGCGCCTGCCACGCAAAAGCAGGGGTCACATTCGCCCCTGAACGAGGGTCACATTCGCCCCTGAACCCACTTCATCCCCCTTCATTTAGGGGCAAATGCGGCCCAAGATGGTTTAGGCGCAAATGCGACCCCCGTGCCCTTCACGGATGCGAGTTGTGCCCTATATCAATTATGAATTCCATTATGAAATTTATGAAGGGTTAATATTGAGTACTACATGCCATGACCATCCATGACCCAACAAAGTTCGTACGGAGTTCGCGTCGCGATGCGCTTTGAGGGGAGCGCGTCGGAAAAACGCTTTGAGGTGGCCATATGCAGGAGCTACGTGGAGATTTCACAATTTGCAACAGCTCAAGCAGCGGTCTGAATTCAACTGAGGCAATCTCAGAATATCTCAGACCCAGTTTCCATTCACAAAATATAAACCTACCGAATGTGACTTCGCTGAGATGACTTCCAAATGAAGAATTTCATACACTTTTCGGAGACATCTCTTCTGTTTACCTTTGGTGAAACGCTGTTTCAAAGCAACCGCGGCCAGCCTGAAATCGCACATCAAAGCCATCCAGAGTTGGCAGCGTGACCAAAACAGGGCTGATAGCGAAATTGTTGGATCTGATCACCTGCAGAGTGCCCAGTAAAAATAGGAGTGACTCATTGCGAAAGCAATTTTTTGCAGTGTGGCAGTCCTGGCAGTGCAGACAAAGAATGTTAAAGATAGATACCCTCTGGTAAACTAACATAGCTATTGAAAATAACCATTTTTAATGAGAAAATCAACTATAAATGGCAATTTTCAATAGCTATGTTAAATTACCAGAGGGTATCTTAATTTTCGATTCTTTTAGATTACTAAGCAAGTAAGCAGGCTTAAAGCAAGTTGAAAGATCGGGGGAAACTGCACTGCGTGCTCTTGGCCTTGACAAACACTGTCCGGGACAGAGTGCCGTCCGTGTTGAAACGGTGGTCTTCCACATAGACGTACAAGGCATAGATTTGGCCTACGGCACAGTGTGCACATAATGCACAGTTTGTACTCCTTTCAACTCATCGCTGCTGATTTGCTGTGTGCCCGACACAACACAGGACACGATGACATCCGGTGACTGGCATTTAGTTCGGAGCATTCATACGTAGTCTCATCGCCTACAGTAGATTAGACAGATGTCGATTGTACTATAGTTTATGGATGTTCATAGCATCTTGCCGAAGTCGTTTGGAATCGAGAACTATATCCCAATTCTTATCCCATATTATCCCACTATTATTGGGATATTCCCATCATCTTATGATCCCAGATATTATCCCATATTATCCCATCATATTCCCAGGATATTCCCATGACATCCCCATGATCAGCCCATGATCTTTCCATGTTTCGCCGTTCACCTGGATCCAATTGACATCCGCTCAAGGCGTAGCTCTGCTGTGTCGCTTGGATCTCGGCACCGCTGACGCGACAGGAGAGCGCCCCAACGGCGCCCACGTTCGTCACCATGCGCGCCCTGATGCATTTTCCAAACCAATGGGACCAACTTGGGTGGAGAAAATATGGGATAAACACATGGGATAATGTATGATAATATGGGATCATATGAAATCATAGTGTATGATAAAGAAGGGATGATATGGGTGTGTCGATCTACAATATATATCATCAAGTGGGGTATCGGTCTCAATTTTTTGCAGTCACACAGCTATGACATAAAAAAAGACCTCGAAGGAGGCTCCACCAATGATGCAGATGGTGTGACCACCACCCATGCACGGCCCAGTTTCCTTGGTTGAAACGAGTTAAAACCACCAGCCGCTCAACTGGATTATACGGGATTCAATGGGTCCCCGGCAGCCAACAATCTGCTTTGCGGTAACATGTTGGCAGTGTTCAAATCCAACCCAACCAACAACAATGATAATGTAATAATATGTAATAATGATTGTGACTGTAATAATGATAATTAATTATCAATGATCGCAAATATTCATTGATGATAAATGCTCATTAATCATCATTAATCACACTTTAAATATCTTTAAATATCTCCAGACATTTGATCCCCAAAGCCTTCCTCCACTGAAGACACAAAGGCTAAGCAATCGAAGCTGAGGATCGTCGGTGTAAAGCGCACATCAATGCGATCCGTGGTCGGCACCGACAGCAAGGCAGGCTCCACTGCAAAGCTGTTGGAGGCCTGAGAATGGAGATTATGACTGGTTGGTGGTTGACCTACCCCTCTGAAAAATATGAGTGAGTAACAGTTGGGATGATGACATTCCCAATGGAAAGTCATAATCCAGCCATGTTCCAAACCACCTAAGCAGATGATGATTGTGGATGAATATTGTGAACGTTGTGAATTAACACTGGGTTGATCTTGTGGATTATGGGATTATCATGATGCGGTTCACGCAGATTCACAACTCCCCAGAAAACCGAAATTCGACATGCACTTTTTGTGCCTGGAACTTCTTTGACGTTTCGGCCCGTTTCGGCCCTGATTTCCGTTGGCCATTTCGTTGGCCAAGGCGCTCCCACGGTAATCTCCAACGGAGTCGACAGAGTCCCATCGAAATGCGCTACGTGGTCCTATGTCCAGCTGAGCAGCTCGCCCGCTGAATATCGTGGAAAAACGATCTAAGCAACTGGAATCTAAGAATGGAATCTAACAGTGATCAGAATCTAACATCATCTAACTGGAATCTAAGAATTCTATAGGATTCTAACAGTGATCTATGTTAGCATCATCATACATCTAACATCTAACATCGAATGTCGTCCGTAAATCTCTCCTCGATGTAGATGTAGATCACATAGGAAGACAAGTAGACCACAGGGCACGGCATCGAGATGACCTCACAAAACGTGTGACACAAAGATTTCCGAAAAAGCGCAGAGTGAAGACAGAAAATTTGGAAAAACTCTGAAATGCCTTTGAAATGCCTCTGAAAATTGATATGTGAAAACAGTTTGAAAGCAGAATATATCACTATTTTTTTGATATTTTTTATATTCACAAAAAAAGTGATAGCTATGAGACTAGAATGCTGCTCGGCGCCTGTAAAGCAGCAGGAACTGAAAGTCCATCCACCAAACAGTTGGTGCGGTCAAAGACATTCACAGCATCCTTCACGTTCGGTATGGTCACCTCACTTCGGTGTTTGGTCGAAAAGTCTGCATGGCCTACACACCTGGTACTGCTGTTTCTAATGGCCCCAAATAATAAATCCCCAATAGAGGTTTAATAGGGTACTATAGGGTACTAGGGTATGCCACATTACGGTATTACCAATGTATTACCACTCTAATTGGGATGATGTTTTTTGTGACCCCCAGATGCTTTGGCTGAGATGGTTTCCGGCGGTTGACCACAATACTCATACTCCAAGTCACAGTGGTGGCATCGGCCGATGCTTTGGTGGCCACATACATCCAAACCTTTCCAGGAATTCTCGCCTGGCAGCTTTTTAAAGACATCCAGATGCACATTCACCACGAGTTGGGTGAAGCTTTGCTCATCTTTTTGACCCGTTTTCGTGGAAATTCTGTCTCTGTCGTGTCCAAATCCAGTGGAGTCCAATGCTTGAGGCCCATCTTGGATGAAACCAAGGACAAAAGAACCGAAAAACACCGAGTGACAGAATGCTTTGCAACATCAAAATAAGAAGAACAGTTTCAAATTGTTGCACTCTCACAGCTACATCTCTGAACCTCTCAAATTGCTGGTACCACATGGCTTGAATTTGCTACGCAAAGAACTTACCAAATCAGGCTCTCTACGGGTGTCAACGGTTGTCGCCTCAAAAGACACGCTGACTCCAGTGTCCAGACCTGGTTCACCGACCTTAGATTTATGTCAACCGAAGCACGGAGCAACGGCTCTTGCACGCGATCTATACCCTCTGGTTATGTCAAAATAGCGAACTGGAAAATCACCATGCTATTAATGGGAAAATCAACTATTTCTATGGCCATTTCCAATAGCTATTTTGACATAACCAGAGGCTAAGATTCCTTTTTCGTGTAGGCTACGGGCCAAACCGATAATCTTAGTGCATCGGTTCACAGCGACATCATGGGTATTTCCTCTATGACCCAACCTTCAGAGACCTGTGACACATCAGCCTCCAAGGAGATCTAAGAAGGCCAGGTATGGCAAGGTATCGCCACGGCACTAAGGAAGGCTCGATGATGAAGCCATTTGACACTTCGACCTGGAAGTAGATGGGGTCCGAAAGTTTCCCATCGTTTTGTGCTGCTTGGTCCTCTGTGTACATGATCAACACATACCTCAGTTCCACACGGAGTTGAAATATTACAAATTCCATCATATTCCACACGCAGTCATAATTATGACAATATCCTATCATTATGGCTATAATTGTCATATCATAATCATTCCAATAATCCATAATCTAACAATTATTTATAGTTATTTCATATGGAGTGTGGCGATGATGATTTGTTTGATCGTCAACCAATGCTGTCCAGGTTTTCAACTTCCCCAAATGCTGTGACTAGGATTATGGCTGCCGTCCAGCTGCAATTTCGGCGTCGGAAGTAAACTGCAGCTGGACAAGGTCAGTGTGTAGGTGGCCTTATGGTTTCAAGTGTCGGACCGTGTCGGATGTCAAACAAGTGCCAAATAGGTCAGATATGTTATTATACTGGTTGGTGGTTGACCTGCTTTTCAGAGTATGAAAGTCAGATGGGATGATGACATTCCATATATATATGGAAAAGGCAAAGCAATGTTCCAAACCACCAACCAGTATAGAATTGTTAAGATATGACATGTGTCAAATCTCTTTGAAGGTACGATATAACACTTTGAAGGTAACAGGATATTATAACAGGATGCAACGAGTGACAGAAAGTTCAAAAATGACCACAGCGATCTTTCTCCATGGAACTGCATAGGGAGCTGCCACACCCATCTGACGGCAACCAAGCGGACCCCAAGCCTGCAGATCAACATAGAATGCCAAAAAAACGCAGCCACAACATCCACACTTCATCATAGCTCACCAACATTTCAAACATCAAAAGAATCTTCACATATAACGCATCTGCCGGATTTTCCATGTTCCGTGTCTTCTTTTGGTTCACAATGCTCAACAACCGCAATGCTGTGCGTGATTCAAAGTCAAGTATTAGTGGAGCTAAAACTGCAGTTAAACTACGTACCGCTATACGTTGTGCCTTTCATAGATGTTATTGGTGCCCTTAGAGTTCATGAAATGCTAGTTTGGGGCATCAGCGGAAATCGCCAGTGCACCCCGTGCGGCCTTATCAGCTGCCTTCACCGCTTGCATAGTGAAGTTCGTGTCTCAGTTGAATCAGATGTTCTAACTAAAGGTAAATCAGCTGTCATCCGTGGACCGAACATCTGTTGCTCTCTCATATAAGATGATATTCCCAGGCATTTCAAAGGGAAAAGTCCGATGTCCAGAGATGTCCCAGAGATGTCCAGAGATTCATTCGCGCATGACATTCTGCAAGGCTCCATCCTATGACACGGACATGGCAACCTCATAAGCAAAACTCAAGCAGCGCCACAACGAGGCAGCTCTAGGACCCAGCCACAGCAGAACAGGAACACGACACATATAACAAGATGACGTTCTCAGGTGTTCCCAGTATACCATGACTAGATAGTACTACTCAACAGTAGTAATGCTACTAATTGCCAGTTGCTACATCCTTTAATCATCGACCCAAAGCACCATCAAGAAGCTCAGTCTACTGGATCTGAGTCCCAATCAACCCTTGTATCCATACTACCCTCTGGTTATGTCAAAATAGCGAACTGGAAAATCACCATTTTTAATGGGCAAATCAACTATTTCTATGGGCCATTTCCAATAGTTATTTTGACATAACCAGAGGGTATTCCATAATATCATACAATATCTGCCCCCTGAGTCCGGCAAGCGAATTTGAACCAGGAAACCAGCTGCATCCTGAATGACTGCCCAAACCAAACCTTGAGGCTTGGCCGTCGCAAACGTCACCTCAGGTGCTCCAGACTTGATCTTTGTTCAAATGTTCAATATGATTGAACAGTAGTGAATACTTAGTGAATACTCTGTGAATACTTAGTGAATACTATTCAATGTTCGTTCCATAAGGTTTTCTATGTTTTGTCAGGCTCAGACCCTGCTGATCTACATCCATCATCTGATGCAACCAAGTCACATCCATTCCCATTCCATGAGGCCCTTGTGAAATGTATGGATGACCATCAGGCCATGCCCACTCATTGGAGTATTGTGGCGCGACAGAGACACCATTGCTGACCCGCCCATTGTCGCGGTGATAGATGTTCCAGAAAGGTGAGCGAGTCAACTTGGTGCGAGTCGCAGATGGAAAAATGGCTTTCTTGGAAAAATTAGAGGAAACCATGATTTTTCCATTGTGTTTCCCATTATTAGGGGGTCCTGCAGATTTTCCATTCTAATTCTGTGATGACTGGCACAAATCGGCTTTCACTTGTTGATGTTAAAAGAAACACAAAAGCTACTCAAAGCTTCTTAATCGAATCGGAATCTACCAAAAGCCCCTGTGGGCACAGAGAAAATGAAGCCTGTGAGTTGGAGAGTTGCCATCAAGATAAAGGAAAGCCGCATTTTGGGACAAAATACCGCCAAGATCCGTAAGGCTTTTAGTGGGTCCCATTGGTAGCCTCCCTTCGAAAAATGCCGGGGCACAGCATCAGGATCCACTGCAACATCCCAATAGTCCGCGCCGATCACGTAGACAAAGAGTCGATAACGAGTTCCGGGCGTCAGGCCGCAGTTGGTAAATTCCCAAGTGTAGTCTGAGAGCGCCACAGAACGGCATCCAGGTCGTTGCTCACTAGGAAAGCAACAGGAAAAGCCCTCTAAAAAAATAGGAAATAGTTATATATAGATAGTGGCATAGAAAAACACTGTACTTATATATACCAATATGTGTATATATATAGTTTTCTCTTCTGCACCAAATAGATTGAAATAGTGTGCACTTGCTGCTAGATGTTCGTAGCAGCATGCTTGGGGATATTCAACGCTCGGACTGCGTCGGATTCATGGCCTTGGCCAGCAGTGATTGGGATTGCCTGCTGATAGCAGTAGAGCTCATCACCCACCATGTCCACGAAGAACATAATATCCTCGTGTCAGAAAGATTCAGACACTACAGCATTGCCCTTCCCAAAGTAAAAAAAGCTGCTTCAGTGGTTCTTCTGACTGCAATTCCACCACTTTTCAGGGAATTCTGTGTGTGGTTTCGCCGGTTCCTATCGTTCCTTCTTGCCGGCACCACAAAAATAGACACCTCGAAACGTGAAAACAGTCCCCAAGTTGGCGAGCATCAAAGATCTCAATACTGAAGGAGTCGGCATGGTTCCCGTTTGAATTGTTCACCTGTCACAGAATGCTGAAAAAAGCACCATCAAACTATCTTGCAAAATCTTACAAACCCCGGCTTGCCTGCTGTTTCAGTATTTGAAGACTCTACTGACTCTACTCCAGAATGGCACACTTTGAGTCACTTGCAACCACATAAATCCATCGAAAAGCTGTCTTGCCATTCACATGTCTCGTTCTTCGGCGCAATTGAGTCACTGGAGTGCGAGAACTCCAGGAAGACTCAGCAATCAACCCAGCCCAAGCATATCCTGTCCTGAGCACTGAGAATGTGCAGCTCCCAACGAAGCTTGGTCGAGATTTCTATCAGTTGACCCTTTTGAAATCGTTATTTTCTACAAAAACAATGCCAAGAAGAAAATATGTCAAGAACAGCACAAAACATGGACCATGATAATTTCCATTACCCTAGACATCAGTCCTAGTGGATTGGGATGGATTGGGACCTCACGGTGCATTTGGCGCCGTGGAGATGGTCTCCAAGACAGGGTGCTTTGGGGAAGGACGTTCGCAGGGAAAAATGTCTGAGTCAAGAGCGGATTGCGCAGCTACAACTTCAGTCATCGCTCCTTGCCCTGTTACGAAAGGGCCGAAAGGGACGTCTAGCTGAGAAAGAACACAGCGAAAGAGGGGCCTCGGAAGTATTTCAACATATTTCAACCAAGTTCTTTTTTTTTTCATCTTTTCACATCTCAACCGTCCTCAGCTCCTCCCAGAAAACCCTCAGAAAACCCTGAAAACCGTTGCCGAGGCCTCAAACATCGGTGGCCATGTGGCAGGTAAGCTCCATCTGTTTCTGTTTTCAGAAGTTTGAAAAGAAACATTTCACTGAATCAAAAGAATTCGTCAGAGTTCTTGAGTGAAAGGTTTTCTTTGGTCTTTAGTGTTTTCTTGTTACTTGTGTATTTGGTACGCTTTTGTTTTTAACAATGCCCACCGAGGGCGTGAAACTGGCTGAACACACTCACCGAACAGGCTTAGACAGTGTGGACAGGACGTGGCAGGACGCGTGCTTTCTGTGCAAGCCAGGAATATAACTCTAAAACACTTTGGTACAAGGCAGTAGCAGCATCCTTGTCTGGTTGACATCGGTATATCATTGTGTATCCATCGTTCTTGCATCGCACCTTCAATCTCAAATTTCGCTTTAGCTCGACTCGAAAAAAAACAACAAATAATTCATGGTGTGTCGTTGTTTTTTTCCGCAATCATTTCATTCATTTTCTACATCCAAGGCTCTTGGCAGGTCGGATGGTGAATTTGATGCCACGGATGGTTTCCTGCTCCACCAAATACGGTCGGATGGAGAACTCATTGGTCACCTCTGCAGCGCCTAGAGCAGGGGCCGAGGAGGAAATAAGAACACTCAAAAAACATATTATGTGATGTATCACAATATATATATATTATAATTATTATATTATACTGTATATATATATATTATATTATTTATATTAATTATATTATTTATACATATATATATATAATATATATATGTATACATGATACATAATGATACATATACATATAGTTTAATGCATATTATTATATTCATAAACATGTCAAAAATGATATGTAACCTGTGCTTGCATCAGCATATGACACGGAATTGTGATCGACTTTGGGCATCCCCGGCCACCAGCCTGGAACGATGATCCCCATATCTGCCATGATTCCATCATGAGCCTCGTTCGTATCCTGCGCTAAAAAACCGAGAAGTTGACTGTTGCCTAGCCCAGTGGATGAGTTGACCAGTCGAATATTAAGATTGCCATGGACATTTACAGTGGTTAAGTATGGTTAAGTTGGGATGGGTTTTAACGGTTTAGGTGAGGTGAATATAGGTGAACTCGGTACCCTCGTCCCAACTCTTTGGTCTCCTCCAGGTAAACAAAAGCCCGGTAGGTCTGTGGACCACGCTCAAAATAACAAAAGAGAAACTCCTGGCGAGTCAATGAATCAGCAGTCAATCAATCAACTAATCTAAATCATTCTAAATCTAGTTCATCGATGAAATGCATCTCTCAAAAGCAGTTGGTATAAAGACACACATTTGGGACACATTTCAAAATATACAATGGCTACTTTTGGGTTGTGCTGAGCTTGCACAACAGCCACATTCGGCTGAATCTGCATATTTTTCTATTTCCTTGATCAGGCAATGTTCAGATTTTATCAATTTTATCATACCTGAACCATGCAAGTTTTGCAGAAGCAGTAGAAGTACCAAACTCGTCAAGGCGTATTTGTAGGTCAAGAAATAGGGCTATTTGGTCGCTAAAACACAGACCGCCCCCTTGGAGGTTCGGAGCTGAAGCCTTTTAGATATCAACAGATTCAACAAATGTAGATTTTACGCAACTGGGGCGCTACCTTGAGCCGAACTGTAGCTATGTACCTGTAGCTAAAGTATCTTTAAAGCATGCTAAAGCTTTCTTTAGTATCTATAGTGCAGCTTCTTGCGCTCGGCCTTTGAGCATATGCTGGACCTCTATTGAATGTCCGTTCTTGCCCACTTGAAGATCCAAAGAGTTTGAGCTTGGAAACGTAAACACAAAAAAAACACCGGATTTCAGTTAAAACATCTTAAAACGGCATTAAAAAAGATTCCTCCCTAGCTAAAGCTGTGGTGCTTGCAATGCGATGCTAAGACGTCGTGCTTGCGGCCCGTTAGGCAAATATTTCAGTGCGCGAAGAGTTGGCTTTGCATCTTGCTGCGATGATCTACAATGATTTGCAATGACTGTACAGTATAGATACTACTAGTACTTCGATGTACTTTGTAACATATTGACTTATCTTGCATCTCCATCTCAGTTTCAGCATGCACATCCAATTGATAAAAACACACCTCATTCATCACAAGTTGCGAAAAAAAACAGCGGTGGACGGTGGTCTCCTCAGTATTCAGCAATCCACCTGTGACATATTTGCGTTCGCGCTTACAATCTGCAGCTGGTTGGCCATATAGCCTAGGGAAACAGCAGGTCCGCCTGCGGGAAAGCTGGAAACTTCAACTGTGAACCTTTATGTTTGCATCAAAGTGGCATCGTTTTAATGTTCCAGATAGTGAGCAGGCCTGACGGTGGGAAGTCATCGGGCCAGCTCTCATTCTCGATGTCAATTGTTTCCCGCCAATTCATAACTTTTCACAAGCTACAGCTGGACCACGTCTTTAGTATCCTATCCTACTCTCTCTTCCTCTATTTCCTCTTGCGTCGCACGGAAGTGAAAAAATGGAAAAATTGAAGACGGCACCAAGAGTCAAAGGGAAAGGAAAACGGTCAAAAATAGTCCAAACAATTGAAAGTCCACATGTGTCATGTTGTTGCGCGGCAATGGAATGAGCTAAAACAGAAAACATGCTAAAAACTAGAGCCACTTGCTGAGTTTTTCAAGAACTTCCACCAGCCTTCCGTCGTTGAATCTGCTACAACAGCCCAAAAGTTTCCGTCCTGCACAATCGGAGGAAGACGAATCATGAACACCTGCTGCCAGATTGCAGGCGAACAGTTTTCCATCCCCAGTTTTCCCATGACGTTGACGTTCCTTCTCTGGAATGAAGCTAAAGTAGAAGACATTTGTCGTCATCGTCGCTTGTATTCGCGGCCTGCGATGTTTTTTTGCAGCTCTAAACACTTTTGGCACAGCTCTGGCCACATCAGAGCATGTCGATAAGCGAGAAAAACCCTGCTGTTCAATGAAGCTCTCAGTGATCAGACAATTGGGACATTCTCTACATACAGATTTCATGAAATAAGAACGACTAAAAAATACTATATATTATATATATATTACTATATATACATCTTCTCTGCAAACATGTTAGTAAAGACCATCTTTGACACGATCCAAAAGTCGTCCATTTCCACCAGAACAGGATTGCAAAGCAGAAATTCTGCATGATGTCCGCGATACCCATATTATATTAGCCACCGCATATTCCGACGTAAAATTTTTACCCAGAGGATCCATCATGGACGACCCAGTGATCAAGTCGAGTGGCTGCTGTATGAAAGTGTTGGAGGCGTTGTACCAAACCAACAAGGGACCTTGGAACGGGGATCTGTCTCTGTTCCATGTGTCATTTAGGACACTGAAACAACAAACATTTGCAACATGGCAGTGTGTCAAAACCTTGTACCCCTGGTGAACATCAAAATAGCTGGTAAATGGATGTTCATCCCCCTAAAAATGGTATTAATAGGTATTGATCCATACCCACATACCAAACAGAGAAGAATAGCTGCGCAGCTGCTTCAGATTCTATTGACAATCCGCAAACGTGCGTCTCATGAGCGGATTGCCTGAAAGGATACCATCTGGCTCTTCAGCCCGAAACGGACCTCAGCGAGAGCCAGAATGAGATTGAGCTGTTCAATTTGCAGTGCTATATTCTTCTGGTGTTTGAAAAAAGTGATGTTCGATGTCTGTTGAGGATCCCAATCAAAGAGTCCATGCTGTTTCTAGACTTTGCGGTGCATTCCTAGTGAACTTCAACCGTTGCCTTCAGCGTAGAAGTAGGCATAGTACTCGTATGTGGCCATCAACAGGCAGTTCTCAACCTAAGCATCTTGGAAGTGATCCTGTCAACACGAATCTCTACCAACGGAAAAAAGGATGCAAAGGGGCTTTGTTCGGGTTTTCCTTCTTTTTCTTCATGTTCAACAGTCACTTGGCAATCTTGGCACATTCATATCTCGATGTTGGAAGGTTTCACTTTGTCAGCAGGACATGGAAATAGACGCTGTGACGCTGCCAGGAAACGGTGTAGGTCTGCACGGATTGGTTGACCTGCGACGTCCAGCAGTCCACGCTGTTCAGCTTGTGTGTGTGTGTGTGTGGTGTGTGTTGTGTGTTGTGTGTTGTGTGTTGTGTGTTGTGTGTTGTGTGTTGTGTGTTGTGTGTTGTGTGTTGTGTGTTGTGTGTTGTGTGTTGTGTGTTGTGTGTGTGTGTGTGTGTGTGTGTGTGTGTGGTGTGTGGTGTGTGGTGTGTGGTGTGTGGTGTGTGGTGTGTGGTGTGTGGTGTGTGGTGTGTGGTGTGTGGTGTGTGGTGTGTGGTGTGTGTGTGTGAAAACAAGTACAGGCCACACTTTTTTTACCATCCCATACACAACAACTATATAACTGATATTTAACAGCATAACACACTGAAACTTTGACTTCGCAACTGCAGTCATTGCCTCAACATCCAGCAGTTTGCAATTCACGGTGCCCGTTGGAAGAAGGCCCGTCTTTACGGCGAGCTCGTTGACTTCCGAGGTGTGGTTCTTGTGGACGATGATGATCCACAGGAAACCTCCTTTGACCTTGGAAAAACCATGGGGAGATCCGCCGAATTCAGAATGCTATGGAGACCCATGGGAAAACCATGGGAAACCCATGGGAAAATGTTGGACATCTGCCATCAGAATGGGATCAGATCAGGATGACATGGCGGCCAGGCTGGCGCTTAGAAAGTTTCTTCGCCAAGAGGCGGTAGACATTTCAAAGTCGGCATAGAAAGGCCGTGCGGTCAGAATCCGAGGCTCCAAATCATAGGTGTTCGAAGCAGGCACTTTCACCTCGGTTGGAACATTTTTCAGTCATTGAGTCATCGAAAAAGAAGATGTCGGTTAGGTGAAAGTTACAACCATTTTTGATGCACATTTTCTCTAGAAGTCTCAGGTGTCAATGTTCCAGCCTCCACAGGGGCTGAGATTGCACCCGAGCGGGTCTTTTCCAAGCCTGCCAGGCTGCCACTCAGAACTCGCCATCTATGTGCCATGCGGCAAACGCACAGCGGCATTACATGTCCAAGCCTTCGATGTAGATCAGGGCCCAATAGCTAGTACCTTAAACATCTTTAACAAATAAAAGATATAAAAGGGTCTCCAAGGTTCTCAACGATCTTTTGTTGCTTCAAGTTGCTTCAAGTTGCTTGCGTCTGAATCGATCTACTCTGATCTAACATCCGAGTGACTATAGTTGAAGCCACAGTCGTTGAAGGTGATATTGGTCATGTTGTCTGCAAAGACCAGAATGCCGGCTGGTGCACAGGATTCGTTGTTGCTTGGGTAGAACCTGCAGGGGTTCCTCGTCACTGGTTCCACTGCAGGAGACACACCTTGACTCTTGTGTGGACAGCAGTGATTACCAGCTCATACAATTAAAGGTTTGAGAATCTTGAAACAATTTATAAATCGACCCTTGACCCTTAGCTCTGGCCTATCAAGGAAGCTCGGCGCATTCTGGTAATAGGTTTGTGCCTGCACATTCTGTGGCTCAAGTCAACAATATCGATGCACACGTTGCACAGACCTTGAAGTCTGAAGGACTGCTCGGCACTTTCTCTCAAAAAGTGAAAACCCAAACTGACATTAGAACAGTATCGCTCTCCGCCAAAGGTTTCCTTAGTAGATCAACTATACATACCTATACAGTATATGAACATATATGAACAGGTTTTTGTGTACCCAATCCCTGTACAATCTCCGCTTCTCCAAACATTGGGTTTGCGTGCACAAAGTGTGTGGCAGCCAGTAAAATCACATCCTTTCGATACAGCACGACGGATCAAACAAACGTGTCAGTAATCCAATCGTATCATCTTTCGTCACATGGGCACAATAGGGAAATAATCTCCAAAGGACCCTTCGATACCTGTTGATCAGTGTTTATCGTGATGGCAATGATGGCGATGATGGCGATGAGGCTGATGATGCTGATGAGGCTGATGAGGCTGATGAGGCTGATGCTTTCTAGAAGGCAATATGTTCAGAAATTCCAAAACAATTGGGCTAAGATTCACAGAAAATCACAGAAATATATTTTATAATATGTGTATATATATATATATCTTGTGCCCAAACATAGGAAGCTAATGAAAGCCAATGAAAGCAACCCAGAAATTCCAGAAACGTCAACCTTGACGTCAACAACAAACCCGACCCCAAGGTCGACTTTCCACGCCTCCAAATAGTCTGTGAAGGCAGCACCCCATGCGTAACCTTCCCGAGCTGCCACCAAACTCAGTTGAAATCCTGCGGGCTCTGGAGTCGGTACAACTTGCGGCGAATCCTCGAAGTCGTTGCTGTCCTGAACCTGCCAGTTGCCAGTGGCCAGCGTGGCCAGCCAGTCCCACAAACTGTTCCACTTGTTGCCAAACTGTTCGACAACACACTCTGCAGGCTTCACTCGACCACACCGTACGTTTCTGTTGATTGCCAACTTCGGACCGCAGGGTCTTTGTTGAAACAGCAAAACTCAGCAATCCAAGGCACGTAGAAAGTCAAAGGTCCAGCCATGATGCCATCGTTGTTGCCATTGAAGTCCTCAAAAATCCAGGAGATTCCAGGAGTAGAAAGAACAAGTTGGATTACTTCGAAGTTCAGAAGTTTCTGAGCAAAAGATCTGTTTCAAATTGAGTGCATGAACAATCATGAACATGTCTAACATTTCTAACTTGATGTGGAAATAGAACCAGATTCTCCTCGATATAAACGGAGAGGCTGTAAAGCCGATCTTGGCTCAGCTGGCAGTTGGTCATCAAAATCTCCTCCCACGACATGACGACTAACATGACGACGAAACAGCAGCAAGACCCATACGCTTCCCATACGTCATGGTTTGATTACCAGAAACTTGGGGAACTGGTCTGGAAAATGTGATGTTTAGTTTCTGGATGTTTCTTGAATAGTGATCGAAGCAGGCAGAAGTACATCAATTGTTGAGACTCGTTACAGATCGTGAAAGGATCTTGCCCCCTTCATCAGTAGAGCGGCTTGTGGCGACCTATGGGTCGAATCCACTCTGATTGCTTTCAAGTCATGGGAGGAACTCTGTTCAAGCCCCTTTGCAATCCTGTCCTCAGTCTCTCTTCCGCCCTAGGAGTTACTTCCGCAGGTTTACTAGTCTCCCTTTTCAATCCCATTTGTGTTGTCTCTTTCAGGCTTCGTTTGGTTCAAAGTTCGTTTGAATGGAACCCACGCTTTTTCCGTAAAATAGTTATCCATTATATATATATATATTACATGGGGCTTATCCACTACATATTCCCTAAAAATCCCTAAAATATGGGGCTTTTCCCGAAAGGTTTTTCCCTTAACCCAATCCACTGCCTGAAGGCTGCCACTGAGGAGTTCGGAGGTGCGCTTGCACTCATTGCTTCCCAGGGCACCTGTGCCCAGCTTCACAGCCTGACACAATTTCTGGAAAATGGGCTGTACCCCAAATGCTTGTAGCGTTGTACCCTATTTTACCCTACTACTTTGGGGAAAATTCATATTCTATATGTGTAAACTTTGTAAACCGTGAAATTTTCATGGGGTGCCCGATTTTAATACAAACCCCAACCGTACCCAAGCGTGCCTCGACGGTTTGCGGAGAATTGCCCTCATTTACCATGCACCAAAAGCGTCCAGTGAAGGAAGAAGTCATCCTGGCACGGCATTGCACTAGAGTTGAAATAAATTCATCACCATGGACCTCCAAAAGTATTTTGGAAACCGAGTCTTCTGGTGTACTTGAGTAATTAACATTAATTAACCAGTTTCTATGCATCGGCGTTCTAAAGTATCGTTTGCAGAGCAGATTTGTTGATGCACGATGCAAGCCAGCGACGTGGCCTCACTGCCACATCTGTGCAGAGCCCTGAGATTCACTGAGTCAATGCTCTGCCAGCTGAGCGGCTGAAAGCTGAAACCAAGACCAGTGATCTCCGTTACGATGGAGGGGTAGACGACAAAGATGTTCGATGGAGTCACTTGAAACCTGAGCCCAGTCTGGTATGGTCTTGGGTCGCCAAGGCTTTTCTCCCCACATAACAAGGTCCTTCAAAATAATCAAAATATCTGGAGAATGCTCATGGGAGACTAGCCACATACTTCTTTTGATTTCTTTTGCTCCACCTTTTTGCTGTTAGCTTTTCCAATCCATGATCGCTCACGTTTTGAATCGAACAACCTGATATCCTCTGGTAAACTAACATAGCTATGGAAAATCACCATTTTTAATGGGTAAATCCACTATAAATGGCCATTTTCAATAGCAAACTGTTAGTTTACCAGAGGGTATCTGGCTTATACTGAGTATACGCAATGGGCTCCCCGACGTGACCGTGCCGGCGAAGCTCCCATCGTTTTGGACTGTGTTACTGCCCTGGGTCAAGACATGTGACATGTCAAGCCACAACAAAAAACATGGTATGGTAGTCTGGTAGTAAAGTAAAAACCAGGAAATCACCCATTTGGACATGCTGAAAGCAGTCCTGTTCAAGCACCTTGGTTACACTGAAGCAATGTCTTGCCCATCCTGTGAAGCTGTTATCAGCTGGCCTCGATGTAGGCATGGAGGGCATACTCTGGGCCACTGTTCAGCTTACAGCCAGAAAGTCGGAAAGACTGCCTGATGGCATCGAACTCCAAAGAAGACACAAATGGTGCTGGCGACACGGTGCTGGATGGCAGTTTGAAGTCATCCCCTTACACTGGTTGGTCAATAGGGGTACAATGGATCATAGTGGTTGTGATAATCCCAATGTATTGGGTAGTATAGCCCCCTAGCCTACAATCATCAACCAACAAGGGTTTTGAAATGTTTTGAAAACTTCTCACTAGATTGATGTCGATCATAAGGCTTTATTGATCTCTTCAGTATGTAATCTTGTCCTTTAGGCCCTAGGCCACTTGTTATGCTGGTGTGGATCTCTGCCGGAAAAGACCATCCAAGAAGTCCACACTGGGGAAAATCTGATTCTAAAACAGAGAAAATGGTGCTGAATTCCAGTGTTTTGAAGATAACATGCTTCCTCTAATTCTGGCCAAAGGGCAAGGAAGAATCGACAAATTGTTGTAGCAACCTGCAACTAGTGCTTCCAACTGCTCCTTGTCCAGCCTGAAAGAGCGCCACTCAAGACGAAAGCTGGGCCATTCTTTGCTGAGGTCAAAGTTGCACATCAAACACCAGATCACAACACCGGATGCTTCAACAACAGCACGAAGCGATCAAGATCAAGCGCAAATCTTAAAACGGCATCGCAAAGACTTCAACATCTTCAACTGTGCAAGTACCATAAAAATCCATAAAAGTACATCAAAGTACAATGGGCGATTCGCAGCAATCGGTTCTCTGTTTCCTGCTTTTCATCGCCCACGTCGTGGAAAGGTGGGCCTTGATGAGATCAATGGTCAGGGCAACAGGTCCCACGGTGATGATCAGCCAGAGGTAGCCTGCAGACCTCGCACGAAAAAGACCACCACCAGTCCACTCACCACTCCATGCCCTGCGCTCTCACCTTTTCTCAGTGAATCTCATGGATCAAGTCATCAAGTCATCAAGTCATCAAACACCGTCACAGCCTGAGCATTTCGTACGATGTTCAGAGCAAATTCCCAGCAGATTCCCAGCAGATTCCTACGATTTCCATCGAATCTGGGCCTCGTTCGCAGCTGCACCGTGATGCCGTCGCCGCTGGGTGCACCGGAGATCGTGGGATACGTCGAGAAGGCGTTCGACGCCTCCGTGGCCGCGTCCGAGGCCTGGGAGGCGAGGCAAGGAGCGGAGGAGTCCTCCGGTCCTCCCAAAAGGTCACCATTTCGGGCATAGGAGATCTGTAACATGTAAGGATCTCATAATATATCATGATATATTAGATGCATTTAGATGCTGTATGTATATGTCATATGTAACATATCATATGTATATTATGTGTGTATATATAGAGAGAAGGAGATATCACTTCATGGCATAGAGGGAAACATAAGAATAGGCCGATCAAGGCCGATCGGCATACTGTGACATAGTGAGAGAAACAAAGGTAAGAGTCGGTAAGAGATTACAACAGGATGTAAAAAGATCAAAAAATCATTCAAGTTGCTGTCTCCACAATTCCATCCAAATGAGCTCCGATTCCAGAGATGTAGGCAAGCACGGTGTATCGGCTCCCGACCGTGAGCAAGCAGCCGGAAAAGACCCAAGCCTTTGCATTGCATGCGCAGTCCATCATAGGATCTTGGAGTCATGTTGAGATAAAGTGAACAACCAAGTTCTGAAACAAGTGTCGCATGAAGAGATTGATGTGCATGCGAGTCATGTCTTCATACGTCATTGTTTTACAATCATGTGAGGTTTACCCTCTGGTAAACATACAAAAAAACTATGGAAAACCACCATTGTTGATGGGTAAGTCAACTATTTCTATGGCCATTTTCCAGTTCGCAAACTGTTACTTTACCAGAGGGTACATCATCAATTGTGATTCTGGGTAAAACAATGTCATAAACCATCCCCAGTCATCACCATTGTTATAGGTGGGATTAGGTTACAATTCCCAGTCATGGGTGGTAAAAATGGCATTGTTTTACCCACATTAATCATCCACTAATCATCCATTAATCAAAATTAATGATCACTCATCACCATAAAACACCCTAAAACACCATAAATCATCCATTAATCATCCATTTATCACCATTAAGTTACCATTAGTCATTACCATTAGTCATCACTATGTATTGATAGATGGGATGGCATACGGTTACCATTCCCAGAGGGTTTTTCGCTGCGGCGCTTCTTCTCGGTTGGCGAACAGCTGCCGTGGCCCATGTTTGCAGAACGGCCCACCCAAGGCGCCCGTCAAATTGTACACGATCTCCTGGAGGCATTCAGAAAAGGAAAGAAAAAACACCATCAACATTAACTATATTATGGTTATAGATGGTTATAGATGATTATACATGGTTATAGATGGTTATAGATGGTTATAGATGATTATAGAATTAATATTGTAGATGATGATAGATGATCGTAGATGATTGTAGATGATTATGACTATAGATGATTCAAGATGATTATAAAGATCAAGATTAACTATGCAAGCATCTGAACACGTTGCTTTCAGCACAGATGCAACATCTGAATTCAAGGCAAAGCACAACAAAACCACCAGCAGCTAAGGAGCTGAGGCATACTACTATGTTGAGCTTTGGTGTCAGATGTCAGAGCCTTTTGAATGCAACAACAGAAAAATTGACTGTCAAAAAGACTCAAAACGATTCAATGCCTTCCATGTTTGCTATGTGTGCTTTCCTTGTTGGCGCTGCGTGCATCTGTTTCCGTCAAAATCATGGCCCAGCCAAAGCCATCTCTTCGTGGTGTAAAGGCCAATGTTACTCCACTCTCCTGGGCAAAGATGGAACGCAGGCAGCAGGATGCAGCTTGCATCAACTTGAGGAAAATAGGTACCCTCTGGTTATACTAACATATGGTATAGATGGCCCATTTATGGATGGTTTACCTATTAAAAATGGTGATTTTCCATGGCTATGTTAGTCATAACCAGATGGTACAAGTATTGACACAACCGTGCTTCGTGCACAAGGTACACCAGGTACTACAAAAAAGCTGAGTTGAGGCTACATCCAGTCGACAGGGGTCAATGAGCTTCCAAGATATGCTCGTCGACAAAAGACGGCACGTAATGAGCTAGTGGCTACTATGTCTCAGCTTGACGAACTGATGGGATTTCAGTGGGATGCAGGTTGTCAAATCTGTCAAACTCAGATGCATTCTGTTGAGTCAACTCCTTGGCGAACTGCCTCGCTTAATTCAGATGATTCTGACTGCTGATGAGAAACTGTGAGAGGGCTGTTCAGATGGGGTGAACTGGCGAATGTGTTCGAGAGCCCCGTGATCACCTGACAGCAAAATCTCTGCGAGGTGAACAGGAAACACACCAGGGAACCATAGTTTGATATGAAAAAAGCAAAATGATCTTTCTATATCTTCACTTTGTTACAATATCATACAATATCATCTTTATATAATTTATATATCTTTATCACATGCTGTGCGTTTGACATTGCCAATCATTCCAACTTGACAGAGGCTCTCCCTCTTCGGCAGTACCGAAAGATTGAGGGGTTCAGCATGGTTCAGCTGTTGGAACAAGAAACTGTGAAATAGACCCCTCCAGAAAGAGTTCCATCGTCTAGGCCAGCATTGAAACTCGCGATACTCTGGACATAGACCACCTTGTTTGCCGATGCCAAGGATGCGAAGGCGTTGTCAAAAAGTGGGCTGCCAGCAGATCTCATCTCTCACATTCTTTCCCTGTCAATTTCACTCCATTTACAGCTCTTCGGTCTTGCATTAGGAACCATGTTTTGTAAGATTCTTGCGACCAAAATCCAAAAAAATCCATCATCATCCTACATCTCACATGTGTTCCAAGTCGAAACATATTCTGACCAAGATACTATGGCATATTTCCCAGCATGTTGTAGGAAGCAGCCCGTAGGATCCGTTGGATCATCATCGCTTCCCAAACGCCATAAGTAGTTCTGCGCCCTGGTGACCGCCTGTCATGGACCACGACTCTAACATCGTAAGTAAAGGTAAGTAAGAAACAATCCATAGAAATATGGAATAATAATGAATAATATGGATATAATATGGATATATAATCAGAATAAATGAATATAAATGACAACAATTCATTGGACATCCCTATAAAGCCCATTTGATTAAAAGCACGGAAACAGCAACAAGCTCTGCTTCCAACCTTGGGAGTAGGGCCTGGGAAGGGTCTGCAAGGGGCGAAACATGTACAGTCGACGTGTACTACGCGTTCTTATCGTACAGGATGGTGCCCCCCAGTGATGTTTGTTGGTTTATAAACCCCATGAATACTATAGTTATATCTGCCATAAACCATAGTGAAATGGGAGTTATAAACCAACTTAGCTAACTATGGGGCACCACCTTGTACATTATGCAGATTCATTTCCAACCCCAAGCAGCATTAGAGACAACAACTGTTCTTTTTGAAATGCGACGTGGAAAGACGGCCCGGTGACCGTGACTCGGACCCGGCACACCCGGCCTGTTGTTGTCTGATGCAAAGAGCTCCGCCAACTGCGAAGGTCCCGGCCTTGATGGACTGGACGCTGACGTTGGAAGCGTTGGCCTCCGTCATGACCACAGCCCAAGCCTTGGACCAGGAGCGTCCGGAGCATCCCAAAATTTGGCACATCAAAATGTGAGTCACAGACTGAGTCAAAAGTGCAAAAGTGCAACTTCTTAAGCAATCAACTGCTGACAGCACTGCTGACAGCACTGATAATCTGCATGATCATCTGCATGATATTCTGATGCAACTGTGAGCTGTGACCCCACACGTAGCCATCCACGGCAGTAGGGGAAAATCGCACCGTAACGCCCTCTGGCACGGGTGTTGATGCGATGGTTGGGTGGATGAAGAAGGCGCTGCTCACCTCGCTGGAATGCTCAGCTTTTCACTTTGCTCCAACATCCTTGCACTGGCTCATATTTCGTGGTGAACTCCTCAGTTTCATTGGCGAAAACTATGTTTCCAATGAGTTCCATATATTTTCATATATTTCCATATGTACTAACATATATTTCCATATGTGTCCATATATTAACATATATTAACATATATTAACATGCTATAAATCCAGGTTCCTTTTGCCCTTCGCCCAATCGCCCAATCCGAGGCCAACACCCATTCTGAGCGGGGAATCGGCTCTGGAGAATCCGGCGCATCAGGCAAAGATGTTGCAGAGTAACCTGGATCTGCGAAGAGGTGCTATGAGAAAACATGATAGACATATGTATGTATACTTAATTATGTATATACAAATATTGTATATGTATATATATATTGTATATATATTGTATATATATTGTATATATATATATTGTATATATATATGTGTGTAGCACATGTTGCTGTTTATGGCTTTTTCGAAACTCATTCCTGTGCAGTCTCTGAAAGCCTCAACATGGGCATTCACTTCGACCACTTTTTTTGGGTTTCCACTCGACCAGGAAGCTGAAAATGTTGGAGCGGGTCACATAGCCAGCCGCATTCCAGGAACTAATCCTGCCAAAGCTTTCCGGCACTGGATGTAGGAAAAGGAGCATACTCAATCGACTCAATCACCTATGAATTTCAATGAATTCCAATGAACTATCAGTAACTATCAGTGATTATCAGTGGCTATCAGTAACTATCAGTAACTATCAGTAACTATCAACAAGATGTCTGTTCTTGTCTATCTTATTCATTCTTAGTCTATCCCTCGTGAACGTTCTTACAGCTGTAAGAGCCCACCAACTCCTGTGCTCTTCCCCCTCCTGAAGACATATGCGAATTGCAGTTGTAGTCCGGTGACCAAAAAACTGGTGTCCGTGGTGTTGCCCAAAGATGCAAATATGCCACCCTGGTCCATTTCCTGAAAAACACCCGGCAAAAAGTGTGGAATAAATTGGAATGAGAATGGAGTTGAACCGCACAAACGTTAACAAACATCTGTTTTGGAACATCTGTCTTTAGCGTCAACACAACCAACATCCATACAACATCCATACAATCCAAAAACCTCTCGCGTCGCGCCCAGCGTCCACTTCATACGAATACGTGGTGCCATTCATGCCATCCGTCAGAGGAGCTGTCCAGGACCTTGGTGCCACGAATCGTAATTTTACCAAGGCACGGTAAAATCTGTAAAATGACATGTGGAAATTCATGGAAAAACATCAACGAATTCTGTTTGGATCAGTTTGGATCAGTTTAGGTCACAGTTGCACTTTTACATCACATGAAACAGCAGGAAGTTCCAGTTTTTCAGTTTGAGTCTTGTCCATGAATCCAGTCGCCATTTTGGATTAGGTCCCCCGACAGCAAGATTTGTGTTCCCTCGGGCTCTCCCAGGCGAATATCCCGAACCGCTGCAGGGCGATCTGCTGCGTAAGCAGAGACCGTGCCACTGTTGGGTCCACAGCCCAAGGGGCCCTGAAAGCGTTGAAGCAACGATATGTCAACACTATGCTTCAAATCGCTTCATATATAGATATATATATATATATGTATGGTACAGCCCTGCAACCCCCGCCCTCCCCCCCCCGCGATGGGGATGGTTCCTAGGATTGGGTGTGCTACCTCCCTGGAATCCAACTATCATGCAAGGTACCTCTGCTTCCCCGCCCACCCCCCCTGTGGGGTGGGTTGGGTGTAGTATGTATGTACCTACGTAGGTTGGTAGGTATATGCATGTATGTATGTATGTATGTAATGTAATGTAACAGGGGGGTTGCTTTGAGGGTGGAAATTGATTTGGCCGAAAGCGGCCACTCGCGGCCACTTGCGGCCACTCGCTCGGATTTGTCTGGAGCGGCCACTTGCGGCCACTTGCGGCCACTTGCGGCCACTTGGGAGGAGCGGCCACTTGCGGCCACTTGCGGCCACTTGCGGCCACTTGCGGCCACTTGGGAGGAGCGGCCACTCGCGGCCACTTGCGGCCACTCGAGTGGCTGCGAGTGGCTGCGAGTGGCTGCGAATGGCCGCAGGGGTTGACCGCAATTGGCTGCAAGAGGCCGTTGTCGGTGAAGCGGCCACTTGCGGCCACTTGCGGCCACTCGAGTGGCTGCGAGTGGCTGCGAGTGGCTGCGAATGGCCGCAGGGGTTGGCTGCACTTGGCTGCAAGACCGTTGTCGGTGAAGCGGCCACTTGCGGCCACTCGAGTGGCTGCAAGTGGCTGCGAGTGGCTGCGAATGGCCACAGGGGTTGGCTGCACTTGGCTGCAAGAGGCTGTTGTCGGTGAAGTGGCCACTTGCGGCCACTTGCTGCCACTCAAGTAGCTGCGAGTGTCTGCGAGTGGCTGCGAATGGCCGCAGGGGTTGGCTGCAATTGGCTGCAAGAGGCCGTTGTCGGTGAAGCGGCCACTTGCGGCCACTCGAGTGGCTGCAAGTGGCTGCGAGTGGCTGCGAATGGCCACAGGGGTATGAGCGGCCAGTGGCCGCAGGTGGCCGTTTCGGGTGAAGCAGCCACTCGAGTGGCCGCTAGAATGACAAGGTAGCATCTTGAAAAAAAGCGGTTTCGTTGGAAAAGTGTTTTTTTTCAAGTTACGGCCTCTTGCAGCTAATTGCGGCCTACCTCTGCGGCAATTCGCAGACACTCGCAGCCACTCGCAGCCACTCGGGTGGCCGCTAGAACGACAAGGTAGCATCTTGAAAAAAAAATAGTTTCGTTGGAAAAGTGTTTTTTTCAAGTTAGCAGGATCGGTAGGTCAGCCACATGAAAAAAAGTTTGGATGGGAATATATCTGAGATACAGTATATCTTAATACATATATATATATATCTATTATACTGTGTATACATAAGATATATATTACATATATAATATATTTTATGTATCATATTTTATCAATATATATATATATTCATATATTTTATCTAATATTTAAGAGGAAAGGTGCTTGGAAAGCTGGGGGCCGATTTTGGAGGGGATTTCTCTGGCTATGGCTCAAATATGGGAGAGATCAAAATTTGGGGTTGTAAATGGCATCCTCTTGCAGCTCTTCGCATGCTGAAAAGTTCTTCATGGATAGCAAGTTGAGACAGCAAATGGTTTTGTCGAAAAATGGCGTGCCTTCTCCGAATTCGACCGGAGTATCATGATGGTTCGCTTCAAATAGTGACAAATTGAAGGGTTTGCACATTTTTGGACAAATCTAGATGGTCACCAAACATGTCTAAAGCAGCTCAAAGCGAAATTCGTTTTCCAAACCGTGTCGCAGCTGTCCACGCCTCGCTTGAAACACAAAGTGAAACTTGTAGAAACAGAACCCGCGGGCAAACAAACTATGACCACATGTGAGCATTAAACAAATCATCAAACTTTTTGATCAAGTTGGTACCGTTGAATTTCAATACTCTCTTGTAAACTAACATATCTAGTGACAATGGGTGAATTATAGTTGATGTACCAATTAAAAATGGTGAATTATCATGGTATGTCAGCTTACCGGAAGGTAATGTTGCTAATGAAATACCGTTCAAAAACAATCATCACATGTCCTAATGATTAGAGAGCATAGCCAGTTCATGGTAGTTTAGAGCCAAACATTGTATATCTAAAATTTCACAATCGTATACATCACCTTCTTTGTTTAGAATCCAGCAAAATTCATGCAACTGTTGACCGCAGGGCGGATGCGTGGCCAGTCGTATCTTTCAGCAGGGTATTAATTTGATGGGCGCGCCCAGCATCGCAGCTTTTGCTTTGGTTGACGCAGTGTCAACTGGCATTGCATTTCAACTGGTCCCTTCCCTCAAGATGGCAACATTGAAAACGTCAAAGAATAAACATCAGAAATGTCTTGCTAGCAGCTGCCTCGGTTGTTTTTTTGTGGCCAGCTACAACTCATACCCATTGTGTAGGGGCAGTTCCGAGAAAGCACAACTCTGCCGACTCTGTCATCCGGAGCATACTTGCACGAGATGATAACCTCAACTCTTTCCATCTCCTACGCGGAGCTGATAAATCTGCATTGTGAGCTGTAACCAGATCATGATACAATATGAATATATATATATATATATATATCATATAGTATATATATATATATATCATATAGTATATATATATATATATATACATGTGAATAGTATATATATATATATTTATGTATATGTATTTACATATTTATACACACATAAATATATTTACACCTACTTCATGCATATGTATATGTAATGTATATCCAAATACAATGCAGATCTGTAAACACAAAGCATGTATTTATATAATGTATATAATCATATATGGTGTGTAAATATACATATATATATATATATCTATTCAAATATGGTATATACGGGAGATGGTTTCTATTTATCTATATTTATATATAAGGAGAATCAATAATATACGGTATATGATAGATCCGTCGACCCGAACAATGTTCAAAGGATTGGCTAGGAACCGCCATGCCAACAATCATTTCTCAAGTGCATCCCCATATCATTGACATCCGCGAAAACGATAGAAGAGTGAACTCTTTACTAATTTGATGATATCTACTTTTCTATCTCTTTGCGGAGTATGTGAGTCAATTTAGCACACCCTAGATTTATATTATGCTACAGTATCCACTTGTATCCCATTAC